CAGCCCCTGCTCCCACACATCCATGCCAAGCCAACCAGCACCTTTTCTTTTCCAGGGGTGGCCATAAGCACATATGCCAAGTACTGTTACCACAAGCTGCAGAAGGCAGCCCTGACTGGGGCCAAGAAGGTATGAACTTCTCCCAGGACAGCAGGCAAGGGTGGACAGTCTGCACTGGTGGCACCTAGACAGGGTCCAAAGGAGGTGGGGATGCTTGGGTAGGCAGCCTTCACATCCTGGGGAGGGCCCTGCTCACCTTCAGTCAGCCTGCACATTTCAGGCGGTAGCAGGGAAACAGCTCACAGTACAGAGGGTGCTGCATGAAACCCACCTAGGCAGTAGCCAGGGAAACCCTTGGGCACAGCTTGTACCCCAGGTTTGGGAGCTGGTTCAGGCAGAGGGGCATGTGGATGGGCCAGGGTATCAGGCCACCAGCCAGGTAACTGGGCACACTTCAGCAGCGACACCAGCTGCCCCAGACCTGACACTGTCTGGTTGGAGTGGTGAGGTGCAGAGGGTGGACATGGCCATGGGAGGGCCAAAAGACCACCCCGCTGGAGGGGACCTTGCCCCCAGCAGGCTGCCTTTGACCCAGGGGAGGCCCGGCCTTGGAGTGCAGGCAGGCCCAGAAGACTACCACATGCCCCTCCACTCACAGTGGGCCACCCGCCCAGGCAAGCCAGGGCTTCTCCCAGCACTGGCAACCAGGGCTAGATGCCACCCCACAGTCGAGCCTGTCTCAGGGTGGGCAGAAAGGCAGGCAATCCCAGCAGTGCCCTCCACACTGAGGGAGGCCTCAGTCACACCAGATAGCTGGACTTTGTTCCCTGGCCCTGTGACAGGCTACTCTTGGCCATCTTCACCTCCTGTGCTCCCCTGCTAGTGTCTGTGCCCCTGCCTCTTCCTCCTTTTCAGCCCACCAGTCTCCAGGAAGCCCCTCTGGCCCTCCTGTGCCTGACCCTTGCCCGCCTGTGTTGAAGGCAGCTGCCCCCTAAGTGTCCCTAAGCCTAGCCTCATCTCCCATTAATGCTTTGCTCCAGCCTGGCTACAGTCAGACTTGGAGAAGCTGCTGTCTGCACCGCCCCAGATTTCTCCCTCCTTACTCCCTCCACCCTCCGGGTAAGCTAACGTAACCAATGTCCACCAGCCTCTCCCCTCTGTGGACCCAGGGCAGCTCCCAGACTAGCCTGTCCAGGAGTCACTCCACCTTCCTCCTGTGTGACCAGTGGGGAGACTTGAGGCTTCAGGATATTGTAGGTGGCCAAGCACGATGCTCCACTGGTGACTCAGGCACCAGGTAGTTGGGGGTGCCCCCAGCTCTCGCTGGGCAAAAGCCTGGAGTTCACAGGGAAGCAAGGACAAAGGGATAGGAGAGGGCAGCCGAGCCAGGGGTGGCCCTGGGGAGTGCAGGAGGAGGGAGGGCCGAGACAGAGCTGGGCTCTCCTTGCAGGGTCTGAAGAAGCCCAACGTGGAGGAGATTCGACATGCCAAGAACGCTGTGTTCAGCCCGTCCATGTTTGGCAGCGCACTGCAGGAGGTCATGAGCATGCAGAAGGAGCACTACCCTGACCGGCAGCTGCCCTGGGTACAGACACGGCTGTCTGAGGAGGTGCTGGCACTCAACGGTGACCAGACAGAAGGCATCTTCAGGTGCCCCGCAACCTGGGACCTGGGTGTGGGGGCCTCAGGTGTCACCATCGTGTATCTCAGGCAGGCAGGGGCCACTGGGCACCAGGCCCACTGGGCCTACTTCCATGCCCCAGCCTTGGACAGTGGAGTCAGAAGACCCATGCCCTGGCTCAAAGCAGCCCAAGAAGCCCCCCAAGAGGCCAGCATGTGGACCAGTAGGGTCAGCCTGAGGCAAAGGAAAGGGCAGCCACTGTGCAGTAGGGTGGTCCCCGACCTTAGGAGGCAGGTCAGGGGAGTGCCCCAGACCCAGTCAGGAGGGCTAGCCAGAGACAGTGCCCCTGCAGAAATGGCCACCCAGGGCCCAGAAGGCACTTGGACAGCACCTGGTGGAGCCTAAGAAGACGCAGCCACACGGCGTCCCCAGCAAGCAGCTGTCACCTGTGAATGGGGTGATGGCCCCATCCCAAGAGGGGTGGCACTTGGCCAGTCACCTGTTGTCGTGACCCACCTATCCAGGTCCCAGGACAGCTGGGGGCACCGAGGCTTAAGGGTTTGGGTTTCAGTGGCCCTGCGGAGGAAGGCATCTGCATGGGAGCGGCCAGCAGAGACACAAGTAGCCCTGACCTCTCAGCCTTAGCAAGTTCCTCCCTGAGACCTGCCCTGTGCTCTACAGAGTCCCTGGGGACATCGATGAAGTGAACGCCCTGAAGCTACAGGTGGACCAGTGGAAGGTGCCTACCGGCCTGGAGGACCCCCATGTCCCTGGTAAGCCCCCAGCCCCCTTGGCAGCAGGAGCAGGCTGGCTGCAGGCAGTTCAGGCAGCTGGGCGCCCCCTACTTCCCCTAGTGCTGCCGGGGCTCCCCGGGCCATTTCCAGCACAGACATCAGCCTGCCCGTTGGACAGTCTCCGGATGCCTCCCTCCTGTCTTGCCTGCCCAGCGCAGCTGCACAAACTTCCATTTGAGAAGTCGTATTTCGCCCGTCACTCCTGGCACAATCCCCCAGGCCGTCGGGACCATGAGCACACTAGGGCCTGGGCCGCGCGGCCCACCTCGGCCCAGAGGACCCTTTGCAGTCGGGTCCAGCCTTTCACGCCGCCTGCTGTCCCTGCCCACACGGCCCCTTTCACGCCCTTGGCCGCTGGTCAGGCGGGTACTCCACTCCACCGAGCTCCGCCGGGGCCCCGCTGAGCCCCACCGTGTTCGCAGCGTCCTTGCTGAAGCTCTGGTACCGGGAGCTGGAGGAGCCCCTGATCCCGCACGAGTTCTACGAGCAGTGCATCGCGCACTACGAGAGCCCCGAGGCCGCCGTGGCCGTAGTGCACGCCCTGCCTCGCATCAACCGCCTGGTGCTGTGCTACCTCATCCGCTTCCTCCAGGTGCGCGCGGGCCCCGTCCCGGGCTCTCCCCTCGAGCCCCGCCCCGGGCTCGCCCCTCGAGTCCCGCCCCGGGCTCTCCCCTCGAGCCCCGCCCCGCCCCTACCCTCCTCTCCTCCCCTGCCCCCTCCCCTCGAGCAGGTGTTCGTGCAGCCGGCGAACGTGGCCATCACCAAGATGGACGTCAGCAACCTGGCCATGGTGATGGCACCCAACTGCCTGCGCTGCCGCTCGGACGACCCGCGCGTCATCTTCGAGAACACTCGCAAGGAGATGTCCTTCCTGCGCGTGCTCATCCAGCACCTGGACACCAGCTTCATGGAGGGCGTGCTATAGCTGTAGGCAGCGAAGGACCGAGAGTGGAGACAGAGCCGAAGCTCGGGTGCGCCCGGGCTCGGGAGCACGCGGTAGGAGGGAGGGAACGCCCCAGCCGCGGAGGTAGCATGCCAGGCTCCGCCCATGACGGCCCCAGCCCTGAAACTCCCCCATTTCCCCTACCCAGGCCCTGGGCCTGAGGGTGCAGCCAGGGCAGAGGGCCTGCGGGAAGGGCGCCTCTGGCCCCCTGCTTCGTGGCCAGTTTCGTGGGCACCGCCCTGCCCACTGCCGGGCCGCGGGTCAGTCCCGAGAAAGTGCCTTCTACGCCCTGGAGCCAAGTGACACTGCCCCTCCCGGGCCGGCCAGAGAGCACAAGCCACCCTTCCCCGCGGTGAGCTGCCTGATTCTGGCCTCGGCCTTCGGCCTTCTCTGTCTCCTGGCCCGCAGCTTCTGCCCTCCCCAGCTCCTGCACCCCACTCTCCACATCCCTGCCACCAGTGGCCTCCGACGTGGTGACTGCCGGGAATTTGGGGGCTTCCAGGCATCGAGCTGTTCACCACCAGAGCCAGGCCCCCACGAGGCTCGGCCTGGGTGATGGGAGACCCCCAAACCAAAGTCTTCTATGGTGGGGGCAGGGTTGGGTAGGCATTCTTGGGGCAGGGTGGGGGAGGGGAAGAGTATTTTTTCTTCGTATAACTATAAATTCAGAGTCTATCCTGCACATCAGCCTGCCTGTGAATAGAGATATAAATAGAACGAAAGATTTAAGAACTAAATTTGCTAATGACATAGTTTTAACCCAGATGCTATTGATCTCGAAAAGTCCTCGTCCAACCTTTGTGCAGAGCAAGTTAGTATTCTTTCATTTTCTTCACTTTCTTGGCTTCTGACCAAAAACCAAACCCTGCCCCATCCCCATCCGGGGTCTACAGCAGATAAGGGAAGAGGCTGGAGTCTGGGGGACCAGAGGGACACCCAGGACTGCCCTTCTGCATGGCCAGAGCTGGGGTTGGGGTTGCCCAGATTCTCAGTTTGTACATTTTCCATTTTGGAATTTTGAGTTCCAATTATTGTAAAACTTAATTTCTCCCGTTTATATATATGTATTTTTTTTAGAGTTGAATTTTTATTTATTAAAAACAAAAGCCCAGCCCTGCTGACACCTGGGTGTCTCCCTTGGGGTAGTGTCCTCAGTCGGGTGGTCTCGGGGCCTGAACCGGGGCAGCCAGGCCACAGACCCACTCTGACGCGTGGACTAAAGAAGTGACAACACTGTGTGAATAAATACAGATGGATACTTGCCAGTCACGGTCACTGCGTGTAGCCTCCCGTTCCTTCTTCCAGCGGCAGTGGAGCTGCACGGGTATGGGTTGGGGGCAGGGCAGGGCACTACAGCGCCCAGCCGGTTGCGGGTATGGATACCTGGGTGGACCGGACTGGGGAGGATTGGGGGAGTGGCGGGGGATGGTACGGCAAGACTGTGCTTCTCGGGAATGGGGACAAGGCTATGGGCCTGGGAGGAGGCTCCAGGTAGACGGGGCAGAACCAGCTGCTTCCCCCTGGAATATAGGACTTCATACTAAAGCCCAGGTGGGGGAGTGTCTTTTTCTGACCCGCCCTCCCCCAGCCTGGCACAGGTTTCTAGGCCGAGTGATTATTCACCACGTCTTTATTAAGCACCTAAGTAGACCGGCAGGCTGTCCGACCCAGCTGGCTTTCTAAGGGACGGTGGAGGAGACAGGCAAGTGCGGGTGCTTCACCCACGTGCCAGCGGCCAGCCTCCGAGGGAGGAGGGGCAGCCATACCCCACCTGACGCCCCGTCCCAGCCCTTCTCCCCACTCCGGAACTCGCCTGTTTCCGTCTCACATCAGCATTCCCCTATCGCACAGCAGGGCGGGCCCAGGGCGCGGGGCTACCCAGGGTTAGAGAAGCGGGCGTGGTCAACCGGGCGAGCAGCGCGACGGCCGCCGGAACCCAAAGCGCGAAACCGCGGCCATCCGGGGGCGCGTGTTCGCGCGCGCCATCCCCGCGTGACCGCACGGCCGCTTCCGGCACAACGGGAGGATGTGGCCGCCGTGTGGATCGCTCAGGGCCCGGGCCCTGGCCTTAGCGCCATTCCGCGGGTCTCGAGCCTGCGGTGGGAACGGAGACGTCTCCTACACGCAGGGCCAGAGCCCGGAGCCCCGGACGCGGGAGTACTTTTACTACGTGGATCATCAGGGCCAGGTTGGCCGGGAGCCGGGCCTACGCGAGTCGGGCTGGGCCAGAGGCTGGGCGTCCCCGAGAGGGCGGGGCCGGATGGAGGTGCCCGCGATGGGGCGGGGCTATAAGATGGGTGGGGGTGGGGCCGGGACCCCACAGGGGCGGGGGAGGACAAACACCTGTGGTTTGAGGGCCTGAAGCTGGGGACTGGGTCTAAGGTAAGTGAACCTGACCGTGATAAACGAGTGGCACGCTGGAGATAAGGGAGCTCGGTCCCAGCCCGAGAGGTTCCCAGCGACCAGCCTCAAACAAGTGGCTGCTCCCCGCGCACTCTGCATCCCCAAGTCCTGCCCCGCCCTGCGGCCCCCAGCTACTCGCCGCCAAGCCAGTTTTGGAAGCCCTGGCAGGGGCAACCAACATATATAGAAAGAACGAGTCAGGTAGCCTCTGCAGAGATGGCACATACGATTAGAAACTTAAAAGGAAGAGAAAAGAGGCGCGGGAAAGGGACGCCAGCCCGGGAACCTGTGCACGAGGAAGCACCGCCCAGGGTGCGGCGTAGTCAGCAGGGGCCCCAGGTTGACCTTCCATGCTTTTCTGCACGTGGTGTGCACAAGACGAGCAAGGAAAGCAAACACAGGCCCACTCCTGCCTCCCTGCCCTGAGGCCAGTTCTGTCGGGTTCCCAGCCGGAACTTAGGGCCACGGCCTGCTCTTCTGTCTGCAGCTTTTCCTGGATGACTCCAAAATGAAGAACTTCACCACCTGCTTCAAAGGTACTGCTGCGCCCTCCTCCTCCACTTTCCTTCTGGAAAGCCCTGGCGGGCGGCCTGTAACAAAAGTGGGAGTCCTGCTTCCAAGAGCCCTACTGCCTCGATTGAAGCCAGGGCGAGCCTCCTACCTAGGGAAGCAGGGCCTCGGGAGCCCGGCATGGTGAACAGCCAAGCTCTTTGCCCTCCTAGACCCGCAGTTCCTGGTCACCTTCTTCTCTCGCCTGAGACCCAACCGCAGCGGGCGCTACGAGACCTCCTTCCCCTTCCTCTCACTCTGCGGCAAGGAGCGCAACTTCCTGCGCTGCGAAGACCGGCCCGTGGTCTTCACGCACCTTCTGGCCGCGGGCCCGTGGCCCCCGCTCCTCTCTTACTGCGGCGGCGGCGAGGCCCTGGCCGTACCCTTTGAACCGGCGCGGCTGCTGCCTCTTGCCGCCAATGGGCGCCTCTACCACCCGGCGCCAGAGCGCGCGGGCGGCGTAGGCCTGGTGCGATCCGCCCTGGCCTTTGAGCTCAGCGCCTGCTTCGAGTACGCGCCCGGCGCTCCGGGGCTGCCCTCGCACGTGTGCTGGCAAGGCCGCCGCCTCGCCCTTACCATGGATCTGACCCCGCTTCTGCTAGCCGCCCCGCCACTCTGAGCAGCGGGAGGACGGGCACCGCCCCCGGCGCCTCGGTGCTTCCGGCCCGAGTCGCTGCGCACGCCCCACCCGGAGAGCCGCGCACCGGCCGAGTGCGCGTGCGCAGAGGAGGGCGCCGCGGCCCCGCCTTCCCGGCGCTGTCCGTGGTGCTACAGCGGCCTGAGCCCCTCCTGCGGGGAGGGACAGGTAGCGGGACCCTCTCTCTCCACACCCGGGTTCTGAGGCGTCCTCAGATTCGGCCCGCGTTCGCGGCGCCAGGCCTGGGTGGACAGGGGGAGGCGCGGGGCCCCAGTGCGCGTGCGCGAGTGGCGCCCCTCGTCCCGTCCCCGCCCGCCGCAGGCTCAGCGGGGAGCCGCGCCGCGGGAGCGTCAGGTGAGGGGGCGCCCGGCCCAAGGTCAGCGGACGATGGGTGGCAGTGGGGGCCGACCGGGTGGGGACCAGGCCCTGCCCGGGAGGGGGCGCTCTGGAGGGGGGGTACAGGGGACGTCGCGGGGGATGGAGGCACCCGAGGGGGTCACAGGGTTTCTTTCCTCTCCCCTCAAGCCCCGCACAGATGCGCGCCCTAGGCAGTGACAGCAGTCGCCGAATCCTGTGTGTGACGCCCCACCCCCTGCCCAGCCGGATTAGAGGGTTGTCCGAAGGGTGAAAGAATTCCTGGGCTTGCTTCCCCTCGCATCCCAGGCCAAGCTGGGCCCTTCTACACAGATCAGCATCTAGGGGCATCCGTGTGAACAGCAGTGCCTTGAGGCCTGAGAAGGCCAAGAACCTCTCTACTTGAGAGGCGTTGCTGCCTGGAGGATGGGTGGGGGAGCCCTGGGCCAGCCCTTTTGCTCAGGAAAATGGATCCCAGGAACCCAGAGAATGCCCCCAGCTTCTTGGAGTTCATGCATCCTGAGACACCAGGGAACTGCCTCTGCCTGGGTCAGATCTATTCCATTAAACTTTTGCTGTGCCTGCGTATCTCTAGTGCTTTAAATAATCATGTGAGTTACAACTTAGAACAATATCTAAACACCAAAGCCAATTAGTACCTTTCCACCTGACTCACAGTTGCTAGCAGGGGAGACCTAGTGAACAGGTAGGTGTTAAGAGTGGGGAACATTTGAGGTGGAGCTGGAGACAGCACATCCTCAGTTCTGCCATCCCTGGCGCCAGACTGGCTGACATTTCAGTCCTGGTCTCCACCTTTAAAACTGGTCTCGTGCCTGTTAACTAGACCCAAGCTTTCCCATTTCTCCAGGATCACGGCTGCAAGTATATAAACCCCTAATACATTACATGTTCCTTTGCAGTCAAGGCAGCTGTTCCCATAGCCCACTTGGTAAACTACACTTAAAACCCAGTTGCAGCCCAAGGCCCCTCTTTCGCACCCTAGCCATTCCAGGGCTCCACCTACTCCCAAAGACAGGCCCCTTTCTGGGAGCCAGCATGGAAAACAGGCCCGTGGCTTCTGAACTGATTTTCCTATTGTCTCATCCCCCAAGTCTCTGACAAGTTTTCAGATCTCTCTGAGTAGAAGCCCTAATTCTAGTAAAGCTGTTCCACCCATACCTGCCCCTAGGAGGGCTGGGGTAGTAGCTGGACAAAGCCATGCCTTCATTTTCCTGTGGCTGGGAGACCAGTTCTGCCCATGTCCCCCATCAACAGGTGTCACAACAGCAAGTCCAGCGTGGAGACAGAGCATGATTTCTAGGGGTGGAAAGACTAGAGTTAATGCTGGGTCAAGGTCAGGTGAGGACCGGGACACTGGCAGCATGGGACCTTAGGCCTTGTGGGCACAGAAGGGACTTCTGCTCTGGGCCTTACAAGGGCTCATGCCAGCCTCCACGGGGGCAGGGGTCCATGTGGACAAGGGAACATGTCTTCCCAGAGGCTACTCTTCCCCTTCTAACCCATGCTTGGGTAACCAGGCCCTGGGCCTCACCACCCACACGTTCCCAAGCCTATACCTTGCACCGTTTCTCAAGGAGTGGCTGGTTGCTAGGGTGTAGAGGGCAATGGAATCCAGAAAGCCATGTTCAATAGCAGGAAGCCCCTCACAGTGCCAGGGAGAGATGCGATGGAAGAAGGGAGTGAAGTGGGGTTGGCTCTCCCCGCGTGGCCTGGGTAGCAAGACTCAGAGAACATCAGAAATTCTAAGTTGGAACCGGATGCCCCAGATCTTTCTCTTGTAAAGGAAGAAAGCCAACGTTTTATCTGTCAATTTCTTGAACTGATTTGTAACTTTTCAAAAATTAGGCGCAGAATTCTGGCCTCGCTCTATGCTCTTTGCTGGCTCTGAAATGTTAGGGGCAGCCCGCCACCCTGTGTTTCAGGAGGCACATCCCATCTGGGGCCAGACTGCGAAGAGGCCGCGGCTCCGCGGTCTGCGGCCAGTCCCGCGAGAGATGGCCCCGGCGGCGTCCCCGCTGCTGCTGCTGGCGCTGCTGGCGCTGCCCGGTCTCCCGCCCCGCGCCGCCGGCTGCCCGGCTGCCTGCCGCTGCTACAGCGCCACGGTGGAGTGCGGCGCGCTGCGGCTGCGCGTCGTCCCGCCCGGAATCCCTCCTGGGACGCAGGTGGGCACGACGTGGGGCCGCCGGCCACGGGATGGGGTGCCCGCGACACGGAGGGACGTGTGTGAGCGTCCTGGTGGGTGCTGCTGCCCCCTAGTTAAGAGGGAGTCTCCCTCAGTGGGGTAAATGCACTCCCTCCGGTCCACAGACGCTTTTCCTGCAAGACAACACCATCGCACACCTAGAGCCCGGCGTCCTGTCGCCCCTCGCCACCCTGCGCCGTCTCTACCTGCACAACAACAGCCTACGTGCCCTGGAGTCAGGCACCTTCCACGCGCAGTCGCGTCTACTCGAGTTGGCGCTCACTGGCAACAGGCTGCGGGGCCTGCGTGTCGGCGCTTTTGCCGGCCTGGCCCAGCTGCGTGCCCTCTACTTGGCTGGCAACCAGCTGGTGCGGCTGCTGGATTTCACCTTCCTGCACCTGCCGGTGAGGGTGAGGGAGCAGGGAGGCGGGGTTGGTAAGAAGGGAAGGGGCCTTCTTGTACCTCCAGCTGCCCTGCCTGGCTGAAGTGAAAGGGTCAACCCAGTCTAGCCTGGTAAGATGGGGCCTGTCTCCCAGGGCCCCTTTCTCTAATGACCTACCCCTGCTTCAGCGACTGCAGGAGCTGCACCTTCAGGAGAACAGCATTGAGCTGCTGGAGGACCATGCCCTGGCTGGGCTTTCCTCACTAGCACTGCTGGACCTCAGCAGGAACCAGCTGGGTACCATCAGCCATGAGGCCCTGCAGCCTCTGGCCAGCCTGCAGGTCCTGCACCTCACAGGTACCTCTTTCTGGGGACAAGGGGACTAACGTAAAGGTATCTTCCTTTGCCACAGCGGTGTCAGTACCAAGCAGGCCCAGGCATAGAGGGGGCTTTAATGACAGTGACTCTGAGTTGCAAGTCGATCCGGCAGTGGTCTGGAGGGCCATGCCACCACCGGCAGCCATGGTGGAAGGCTGTTAGGGGTCAGGCTGGTAGGGGCATATCTCAGGGACCCTGTCTGAGAAACACAGAAAAGGTAGAAGTTCCTGAACAGAACAGACAGGTGAGGGGCTTGAATATTTTGGACCCATCAGACGGCAGGTCGGCAAACACTGGAAAGATGAGACCAGGTCAGGGTCGGAAGTTGGGTACGGGGGTCATTTCCAAGTGACAGCATCTGAAAACAAGGCCAGCAAGATTTGCAAGGTTTTAGTTCTTGTGGGATGTCTATGTGACACCCAGGCTCCCCTAAAGTAGTGGGACTTGTAAGGAGAGACTTCAGAGGAACAGGGGCTTTAAGAGATCAGTGAAGTCAACTGGAATGTGCCTTCACAGAACTAAAAGGGCGGTATGAGAGCGTGCTCAAATTCCAAGGAGCTTTCGGTCGGAGAATGGGTGGCAAGGTTCCCCAGTTCTGTGGGAAGTGCTCTGGCCAACAGAGTCTCAACTGTCCAGCTGTTCTGGGGCCTCTCCTGAGCCACCTACCCACCACTGCTCTGTCCACAGAGAACCCGTGGCGTTGCGACTGTGCCCTGCACTGGCTGGGAGCCTGGATCAAGGAGAGGGGCCAGCGGCTGCTCAGCTCTAGGGACAGGAAGATCACGTGTGCAGAGCCCCCGCGCTTGGCACTTCAGAGTCTCCTGGATGTATCTGGCAGTAGCCTCATCTGCATCCCGCCCTCCGTGCATGTGGAGCCGCTGGAGATGACAGCCAACCTGGGTGAGGACCTGCGGGTTGCCTGCCAGGCTTCCGGGTATCCACAGCCCCTGGTGACTTGGAGAAAGATGGCCCAGCCCCGCGAGAGGCAGCCGCTGGGCCAGGCCCGGCCAGAAGGCGGGTCACCAGGCCCGGGTGGGCATGCGGCCTCCGACACGGGCAGCGGCATGCTCTTCCTCACGAACATCACCCTCGCCCACGCTGGCAAGTACGAGTGCGAGGCCTCCAACGCCGGCGGCGCCGCCCGCGTGCCCTTCCAGCTTCTGGTCAACCTGTCCCAACAGCAGCGGCTGCAGTCGGCGCCTCCGCCGGCCCCGGCCGCCGGCACTGTCAGCCACGAGATCCTGCACGAAGCGGGCAGCATGGCCTTCCGCGCCCTGGGCCTGGCCACGCAGACAGTCGTGGCGGCGGCCATCGCGCTGCTGGCGCTCACGGCGCTGCTGCTGGCGGCCCTGATCTGCCGCCGGCGGCGCAGGCGGAAAAAGTCGCCGGGGCCGCCGGGAGAGGGCGCGCTGTTCGTCAACGACTACTCGGACGGGCCCTGCACCTTCGCGCAGCTCGAGGAGCTTCGCGACGAGAGGGGCCACGAGATGTTCGTCATCGATCGCTCCAAACCACTCTTCGCCGAGGGCCCGGTGGAGGTGGCCGAGGGCGGGGCGCCCGGGCTTGCGCAGGAGCTTCCGCTGCAGCCGCCCGCCGACTATAAGATCCGCGGCTGAGGGGCGGGGGCAAGGCGCGCGGCGCGAGCTGATGACGTACGTCCCGTGGACTCGCCTCGCGCATGCGCCGGCGCAACCAGTAAAGGGTGGAAGCTGCGTAGTGTGCGGCGAGACGTGTGTGGGGCCCAGGGTTGGTGAGCAGGCTCCTGCGGAACCTCCGCTCCTCAAAGAGAAGCCCTCGGGTGCGAACGGAGGGTGACCAGAGAGGCTCCCAACACCCCCAGTGAGGCCCTCTAGAAACGACCCCTTCCAGAATCACCCAACCTCTGGCTCTGCAGGGCCTGACCCTGGCCCCACCGCGCTGGAGGATGCTAGGCCTCCCCAGGGTGAAGGAACCACGGACTGCAGAGGTGCCCACATGGGCTGCCAAGCTGGTGGAGGCACCTAGGGAAGCAGAAGGGGCAACAGACTGGAAAATTGCTGCTGCCCAGTGGTCATGCTGGGAGAGACAGCAGAGGCAGGGATAAGTTATTCTGACCAATTAGGACAGAAAAAACAGCCACAAATTTAAGTTCCAAACACACTGCACATTGTACCTTAATGACACCCTCTGACCCCAAAGCCCAGCCAACGACAGCTGGTCCCCTGGTGCCAGAGAAGGGAGAACTGTGAGGCCCTTGGGTGCATGGGGACCCAGCTTCAACCCCACAGCAGTCTGCTCTTGAGAAGAGCCCAGAGAGGACAACCTCTCAGCTCACAGCTGGAGCCCCAGTAACATTCCAAACAGGACCAAGTGCAGCTAAACCAAGCAGGCCTGTAATCCAGCCCCCAGGTCCACAAACACTCAGCCAGTCACGGGAGCAGGTGCAAGGCAATCTGCACACAGAGCTGCAAAAAGCATGGAAAGGCTCAAATTGCACCCAGGAGCAAGGGAATCAGAGACCAGTGCCTTTGTGTCAGGCCTCTAGGCCTCCACAAGGGTCCCAGTGACAGATGTCTATCCAAGGCAGGGAGGGGGCCTCCTGGACCCCAGCCAGGGCACCTGTCTCTCAGCCAGAGCCTGGATGTCACAGGCTGAAAAAGTCTGCTGCCAGGCGCCCATAGACATCTGTCGTCCAGAGCACATGCGCACGGCCTGACGCCAACAGCAGCTGGTGCAACTCAGCCTCCACACGGGCAAACTTCTCCTCGTTGATGGAGGCCTCCAGCAGGACAGAAGCAGGCGGTGGCCAGGGCAGGCCCTCATAGCAATCCACAGGGAAGGGGTGCACCACTGTGCGCAGCTCAGCCTGCACCACCGAGTCCCGCAAGAGTTCCCTGAGGCCTGCCATGGACAGTGGGTTGCCATAGAGACCGAGGTAGCGGAGGCTGGCACATCGGGTCAGCACAGGGAGTGTGGCTAGCAGTTGGGTATCAGCAAGCTGGCACTCAGTCAGTTCAAGGTGCAGCAGCGTGGCTGCTGCCACCTGCAGCAGACCCTTAAAGGGCTCCAGCTGGCTGCCAGACAGGTCGTTGCCACTCAGGTCCAACTTCTTGAGGTGAACAGCATGGGGGCTCCGTGCCAGGAAGCACAGGTCTTCAGGCAGCAGGGCACAGAAAGCCAACTCCAGACTCTCCAGGGGGCTCTGCAGAGTGCTGTAGAGGACACAAGGAGTCACAAACAGGCAGGGTCAGGGAAGGGACAGGGCAGTCGTGGGGGCCCCTCACCTGAGCAGCTGGTCCAGCCGCCCTGAGAGGAGAGATGAGCCCATACTGAGCTCCCGCAAACAGGTGAAGCGGCCCATCTGGGCCAAGAAGTAACGGAAGTTGTCCTCGCCATCCACAGAGGGCTGCCTCGAGTCCCCATGCACATAGTGCAACCGCAGGCTGGCCAGGCGCTGGAAGCGGGCCACGTGTGGAATAATGACGGACAGGCCGCGCAGACCCAAGTTGTTGAAGCGCAGGTCCACACGGCGCAGGCAGCCCGCGTCCAGAAGCTGAAGCAGGGCCACTGTGTTGCGCATGGGCAGGTCCTCAGCCCGCAGGTCCCGGCAGCAGAGCCGCAGCGGACTGCCCACACTGCTGCGGAGAGCTTCCCGCAGGAACGCGTAGGATGCCCGGTTTACCCGCAGATCCACACGCACCTCCACAGGCACAGGAGCCACCTGGGACTCCACAGTCCTGCCCTGCTGCTGTGCAATGCAAGTGCGGGCCACAGCTGCCGTGCAGTCCCACATGCTCATGGTGCCAGGGTCCTGCTCCACACCATCATCCAGGAGGCCCGTCATGTCCAGTACCCGCAGTGCATGCTTCCTGGGAGCACAGGTGGGCTGAGGCAGGAGGCAAGGGAGCACAGCCCACACACCCACTCCCAGCCACCCTGGGACAGCAGCAATGTGCCCATTCCTGCACTAGCTTGAAACCTCTTGGGGGACCCTCTTTGCACCCCCTTAAGCCTGAGGACCCCTCGGGTGAGCCCATACCTGCAGAGGGACTGCGAATTGGCCTCAGTCTCTGGGGTGTGGAGCCGGGTTGTCAGTCCCAGGATCACAGCCTGCATGCTCTCTGTGCTGGGCCGCTCCTGCAGCAGGGCTCGGCTGCAGTGAGCACACTCCTGCAGCAGCTGCTGGAAGCTGAGCAGCGGGAAGGGCCATGTGTGTACCAGCTCACGCAGCACGACAGTCTTCTTGTCCATGAAGGCCACCTTGAACAGCAGGGGAAACAGCTCTCGGGGCAACAGGGGCAGGGCCTGGCAGGCAGCTGGTTGGCACTGGAGCACCTGCCGTGTGCTCAGGAACATAAGCGTGTGCATGGCGCTGGGCCGGCTGGGAGGCCACCTGCAAGGGAAGGCCCCTTCAGTGAGGACAGCAGACCCCAGGCCACTGCCTAGCCAAAGCCCATTCCATGTACTGGCAGTGGGGACGCCTAGCATGGTGCTTGGCACAGAGCTGGTACCGAGTAGAGGACAATGGCACTTGAAGAGCAAGTGCTAGGTGCCTAACAATTGACTGGGCAGCCAGGAAAGGGAAACAAGGCCAATCTTCAGTCACTGCCCTCTGGAAGTATAGGGGCTTCTTTAGAGGAAAAGACCACCAAGCAGTACATAAACGGCACAGCGCCAGAGGTGACAGGCTTGACTGGGTGTGCTTTTGATGGCTGTTGCTCTGCAAGAGCCCTGTCACTTATACCTCAGGCCTCTCAAATCATAAAACCTCTTAGCAAACATACTCCTGTTCTCAAAAGCAGAGCAAAGTAGAGGCCCCTCCCCAACACACAAGCACTAGAGGTGGTGGTTACTCCCAGGGGGCCAGACAGAGGCAGGTGATGAACATCTCTCTCTCCTCCACCTTCCTGAGGGGCTCTGGCAGGCTGCCTTGGATTCCGCACGGCAGAGGGATTACAAGCACAAATGTAACTTAATAAACACAAAGTCACGTAAAAGGGACTGGAACCCAGGGAACATTGACTCTGCATGAGTAACCAAAGATCTCAACAAGATTCCCAATCCTACTATCATCCAGAAATACTGCCAAGCATGGAGACCCTGGAGATTTACACAAACGGAGAGAGCAAACCTCACCCACCGAGGTTCTTGCCACCTGTCTATAAACACCTCCGTGTTCCCTGGAGAACCATATTGAGACCAGGTCTCAGACCCTCGGAATTCCAAAGGCCCTGGGCCAGGGATTGTTAGACAGAGGCAGCTGCTGAAGGGCCACCTAAGCCGAAATGGGGACACAGAAGATGCCTGAGGCCACGGGGTACCTCGGTGTCAGTTCTGCTGCTGAGTTCAGCAGCAACGACAGTTAGCAGACTGTGTGCCAGACACATCCTCCAAACTGCTTTCCATCATCCCCCTGAAACCTTAGAAAACTAAGACCAAGGCCTTGCTCGACCAGGGTCACAACTTGGGTGATGAGCTCGGGGAAGGGCGGCCAGCGTGGCCCCAGAGCCCCAGCTTTTGCGGGCTTATACATAAGTCCTCGAGGCACGGGTTCCTGAGAATCCCTGGACGCCAACCCTCGGCCTCGCTCTGCCTGGGGACAAATCTCTCGAGGAAGATCCGTACCTCGCTGTGACAGGACAGACCACCGAGCACCTTTCACGAGAGGAAACGGAAGCAGCCACTGTGGTCCCCGTGGAAGGAGCCTCTGCGGTGGCCGCCGCCCCCTTGCCGCCAGCCCGCCGCGGCTCCCGGCGCTTCCCTGAGGACGCCCCCGCCCGGCTGCTCCCGGCCACGAGCCGCACGAAGCGCTCAACCTGACGCCCTCCGCCGCTCGGGCGGGTCTGCCCCTCGAAGCCGCCGTGTTGCCCCTCGGGGCCGGAGGTCGCTCAGCCCAGCACGGGCTCCTAGTCCTTTCCCACTTGCAGCCGCACTGCCCGGGGTCCCGCCCCCGCCTCCCGGGCGGCGCCGCCCCGAGCGCACGCACCCGCTACTCGCGGCCACGCAGGGCCGCGACGCTCACCGCGCCACTGGATTCCCCAGCGACGGCCCGCGACCACCGGCCCAACTGCCGCCACGGCCGCCACCGCCGCCGCCGCCTCCGGCTCCGCCTCGCCGCCCGCTGCGTCCCGCCCAGCGCCGCCGCGCACCGCAATGACGTTGGCGCCCCCCATTGGCCGCCCCGCTAGGGCTCCGCGGATTGGCTGTCCCGGCAGAGCGGCCGCCGCGCAGCCCCGCCGAGCACCCCCATTGGCTGGCAGCTGGCGTCGCCCTCGGGGCGGGAGATTCGCGGGGCGCGGGTCTCGGCCTGCGCCCGCCATGGAGCGGCTGCGGGACGTCCGAGCTCGACTGCAGGCGTGGGAGCGCGCTTTCCAGCGGAGGCGCGGGCGTCGGCCAGGCCAGGTGCGGGCTGTCCGGGAGCGGGGAGCTGAGGGTGCGGCCCCTGGCTGACGCTGTCCTTTCTCAGGAGGACGTGGAGGCCGCGCCCGAGGAGACCCGCGGTAAGCGCGAGGGCGCGGGACGGAGGCAGCGGCGGAGGTGCAGCGAGCCCATCCGACGCTGACCCCTTTTCCCGGCCCCCAGCGCTCTACCGGGAATACCACGCCCTGAAAGAGGCCTTGGGCAAGGCCGGCGACGTCGGGCTCCGCGGCCCCGAAAAGTCGCTTTCCGCGGCGGCGGCGGAGGTATCCGAGCCCCGACACCCAGCCTCCACGAGGAGTCGTGGCGTGGCCAAGTCTCCGTGAGGCTCAGAACTTGTGGAGACCACTGGGCAGGGTGGAAGCGGGACTGGAGACCCCTCCGTCCGGCACACCAGCCTTTTCCTGGCCTGGGACCCCACTGTCTCCTGCAGGTGCCGGAGTCCAGCTGCTGGGGGTCTCACCTGAATCGGGCTGCGACTCGGAGTCCCCGTCCTCACCCAGGGCCGAGTCCCCAGGAATCTGTCCAGGACTATGGCCTGAGGCTTAAGGCCAATCTAAAGGGCACCTTGCAGGTAAGCGTGAGGCTGGGCAGGCTGCATGTCCACAGTGGGTTCAGAGCTGCCGTCACCCCAGGGACAGGATCATCAGACACCCCTTCCTGTTACCCTCCCCACCCCTGCGCACACACTCCCAGTTCCAGCATCGACCAGGAGGACACAGCCCTTGAGAAGAGTTCAGACCCAGCCTGTGTTCTCAGCTCCCTCTGTTCCCACCTGGTCTCACCTTGCCTCGCCGTCGAGGTGGAGACCGGCGGTGTCAGAGTCCGCTGCAGCCCAGAGGTCCCAGTTTCTGCTTGCTGGTCTGCTCCCACCCCCCACCCCAGGCTGGACCACCCATGGGGCGCATACCCCGACCTCCGCGAAGACTCTTGTCCAAGATGGCCTCCCCAGGACCACCAGGTGCAGAGGCTGTCCCCAGCTCTCCAGAAGAAGCCAGTGCGGTGGCCCCCCAGCCTCCCAGGCCCCAGCTGAAGCCAGGTCGGCTCCAGCAACTGCGGGAGTCCCTGAGCCTGCAGCTGGGCTCCCTAGACCCCGGCTGGCTGCAGCGGTGTCATGACAGGGCCTCTGATTTTCTGGGGGCTTCTAAGGACTGCCAGCTTGGCCTGGGTGCAGAGGAGTTGCAGCCTCCGACTTCAGGTGTCCCAACCATCCCTGGGCCCAGCATGGGCCCTCAGGCACCTTTATGGGGCCTAGAGGTTCCAGCCCTACAGGCAGCTGGAGTCAGTGTAGGGAGTCCCCAGCATGGCAACAGTCAAGACAAGAAGCAGAGACAGCGTGAGGAGGTAGAAGGGAGCCTTGCACAGGACCAGCAGGATGGCAACCAAGTGGGACACCCATCTAAGAGAGCAGGGGCCATGGCACATGCAGAAGGCTGTCCAGGGGATCCCAGGCAGGCACAGCCTCCCAGCAGCCCCACAGCCCCCAGGTACCACAGCTTCAGCCTCCCAGCGGGGTCGCCTTGAGTTGAACCCGGGGGGAGGGCTTTGGACATGGCCCAACTGTGCATCCCTTCCAGGCCAGCCATCGGGAGAGGGGGTAATTACGTGCGGCTCAGCATGAAGCACAAACGCTACGTGCGGGGCCAGGCCCTGCATGGCAGGCTCCTCCGCAAGCAGGTGAGATGGGGGCAGGCACTCCCCTCATCCCTCCTGCCTCCTGTCCTGTGACCCTTTGTGGCCCCTCAGGTGTGGAAGCAGAAGTGGCAGAAGAAAGCGAAGTGTTTTGCGGGTGTTCAGCCCAGAGCCACAGTTAAGGATTCTTGCCTCTGTTGTGGGCAGCACGGCCACTGGGCATCCCAGTGCCCCCACCCCGGTGAGGCCTCTGCCTTGGATGGGAGATTGGGCCAGCACTGCTTGGGGCGGGCATTGCAGTCTTTCAGGAAGGGCATTTGTGGCTCAAACGAAAGGCCTTACTAACCTTACTTCTGGCCTAGAATCTGTCCTTGCTGCCCAAAAGGTGGGTGGTAAGAATGAGGATACCGTGCAGACCCTGCCCACGTTGGAGGAAGTAGCCCAGAGTGGGGGCACCGCCTACTGCCAACTCCTTGGTGAGTGATGGTGTGGAGAGGAAGTTACAGCCAGTGGCCTTGCTGGAATGAGACCAGCCCTGCCTGGGGTTCACTGCCCTCTCTCCTGTCTGCTCCCAGTGGCTGAGGAAGGCACAGAGCCTGCTGGGCCTGAGCAGATGGTGCCTATGGAGCAGCGTGTATCCCAGGCGCCCTGCCCACCCCACAGAGTGCTGCCACTCTACCCTCTGGGACCCTCGGGGCAGGTGGTAGGTGAGCAGATGCCTATCAGCCCAGAGCCTTTACTGAGGATCAGTTTGGGGCCATGTTGACCAAAACCTGTGTCCACAGAGACACCAGCTGAGGTTTTCCAGGCACTGGAGCAGCTGGGGCACCGATCCTTCCGGCCGAGGCAGGAGCATGTGGTCATGCAGATCCTGTCTGGTGAGCTTGCGTCAGAGGCAAAAAGGGGGCCCAGCCCCACAGAGGCACTACTGAGCCTCTTTCCCACCCAGGTGTGTCCACACTACTGGTGCTGCCCACTGGCGCTGGCAAGTCGCTGTGTTACCAGCTCCCGGCACTGCTCTACGCCCGGCGAAGCCCCTGCCTTACACTTGTGGTTTCTCCTCTCCTGTCACTCATGGACAACCAGGTGGGTGGCCAGGAAGAACTGCCCCGGGCTTCTCTAATCTCTTTGGGATGCTAATTATTAGCCAGGCCCACCCTGGAGCTGCTGAGCTCTGCGCTTCTCAGCTCACCAGCTCTGTCTGCAGCCCCAAGCCTGGCAGTGGCCCAAAGGCAGCAGCGACAAGGCTGGCCAAACCCAGGCCCACCCCCATGCACATCGGTGCCAGAAGCAAGGGCCTTCGCCCCTGGAGCCTGTGTGCCGCTGCCCCTGAGCTGAGATCCACAGGTGGCTCTCAGTCCTTAGCTGTAGAACCCAGGATCTGGGTATTTTTCTCCCTGGAGGGCTTGGGGTGGAAACAGTGGTAGCTGGTGGTCTGAGCAACTCTGAGAAGCATTTGAGGAAGAACCAGGGCCGCGTCGCCTGCAGCGCGCTGTGCTCCCTCGCCTGCAGGTGTCTGGCCTGCCCCCATGCCTGAAGGCGGCCTGCATCCACTCAGGCATGGCCAGACAGCAGCGAGACTCTGCCCTGAGAAAGGTGAAGGGGCTGGGCGGCGGGCTGGGCTGGGGTGGCAGGCAGGCCCTTGGGTGGTGCCCCTGACTCGGCCCTCCTCAGGCTTGGGCGGCCCAGGTGCAGGTGCTGATGCTGGCCCCCGAGGCGCTGCTTGGGGCTGGGGCCTCCGCCTGCCTGTCTCGGCTGCCCCCAGTCGCCTTCGCCTGCATCGATGAGGCCCACTGCCTCTCTCAGTGGTCTCACAACTTCCGGCCTTGCTACCTCCGCATCTGCAAGGTGAGCCTTGTTCAGGGTGTAGCTGAGCAGGCAGGGGTGGTGGGAGGGTGTACTCACCACTGCCTCCCACATAGGTGCTACGGGAACACGCGGGCGTGCACTGCTTCCTGGGCCTCACAGCCACTGCCACACGCAGCACCTCCCGAGACGTGGCTCAGCACCTGGGTGTGGCTGAGGAATCTGTCCTCAGGGATTCAGTCATCATCCCCAGCAACCTGCACCTCTCTGTGTCCATGGACAGGGACCCAGACCAGGCAGGTGTGCACACCAGACCCAGAAGAAGCTCTGTCTTTCTATTGTCCGCACTGACCACTGTCCCCCACCAGGCTTTGGTGACACTGCTGCAGAGCAACCGTTTTCATGCCCTGAACTCTGTCATCATCTACTGCAATAGACGAGAGGACACGGAGCGCATCGCTGCACTGCTTTGCACCTGCCTGCCTATGGTCCAGGGCTCAGGCCCCAGAGGTGAGGTGGGGTGGGCCTGCGTGCACCCTCATTCCCACCTGCCATACCCCCACCATCTTCATCTTCCTGCAGGCCAAGTCCCCAAGGCTGTGGCTGAAGCCTACCACGCCGGCTTGTGCAGCCGGGAGCGGCGGCGGGTGTGGAAGGCCTTCACGGAGGGTCGGGTGCGTGCTGTGGTAGCCACAGCAGCCCTCGGCATGGGACTGGACCTGCCAGATGTGCGGGCAGTGCTGCACCTGGGGCTGCCTCCCAGCTTCGAGAGCTACGTACAGGCCGTGGGCCGGGCTGGGCGGGACCAGCAGCCTGCGCACTGCCACCTCTTCCTGCAGCCTCAGGTTGGTGCCCGCCTGCCAGAGCCCCAAGCCCACCCAAGCCAGGGCGCACACTAACAGCTGCTCGCTGCAGGGTGAGGACCTGCGGGAGCTGCGCAGACACGTGCACACTAATGCCACTGACTTCTGGGCTGTGAAGACGCTGGTGCAGCACTTGTTCCCGCCCTGTACCTGCACCCAGCGTCCCCCAAAGCCCGAGGGGGACAAGAGCCAAGGAAAGCCTTCTGCTGAGGTCATGTCCCCAGGGGAGGCCCAGGCCCACAACGAGCACATGGTGCGGTGCCCTGGCCACAAGCGGGCACTCCCAGTGCAGCTGCTGGTGCAGGCCCTGGACATGCCTGAGGAGGGTAAGGAGCTGGGGACGGGCATGGGGGCACCCCACACTCCTATGTCTTCTAAGTCCTGCTCTGTCCCCCAGCCATTGAAACCCTGCTGTGCTACCTTGAGCTGCACCCCAAGCGTTGGCTGGCACTGCTGGCACCCACCCACTCCCACTGCCACTTGCACTGCCCCAGGGGCCCTGGCCAGCTCCATGCCCTGGCTAGCAGGTAAGCACACCCCACCCCAGGCTGGAGGCAGAGAAAGAGGACTGGGGCTGCCAATCACGTGTCTCTTCCCCTGGCATAGGTGTCCCCCCCTGGCTGTATGCCTGGCCCGGCAGCCACCTGAGGACACAGCAGGGGGAAGCTGCTCTGTGGAGTTTGATGTGGTTGAGCTGGCGGACTCCATGGGCTGGGAGCTGGCCCGTGTGCGGCAGGCCCTCCACCAACTGCAGTGGGGCCCAAAGCCCAGGACAGGTGCGCCTACACCAACCCTGCCTGCCACCCACCCACCCACCCACCCACCGCCTGCTTGTGTCTGATGAGTTCTCTGGCAGGCATGCCCCAGGGTTCGGGGGTGCTGGTGGAGTTCAGAGAGCTGGCCTTCCACCTGCACAGCCCTGGGGACCTGACAGCCCAGGAAAAGGACGAGATCTGCCACTTCCTGTACAGCCGTGTGCAGGCCCGCGAGCGGGAGGCTCTAGCCTACCTGCGCCAGACTTACGGTGCCTTTCACAGGTATTGGAGAGGATGGGCGGGCCCTGGCCCCTGTCCTCCCCATGCCCCCTCTGACATGCCCGTCCCACCACAGCGTGGCTTTCCCCAGCTGTGGGCCTTGTTTGGAGCAGCCAGACGAAGAGCGCAGTGCCAGGCTCAAGGCCCTGCTCAGCCACTACTTCAGGGAGGAAGAGGGGCTGGGGGCCATGGAGGACGAGCAGGGGCCAGAGCCAGGAGAGGTCGGGGTGAGTGCCAGCTCCTCCTGGGGGGTCACGGGTGGGACGTGGGTCTGGGGTGAAGCTAGGCAGCAACATGCTTGCACGCACACCCTGCCTCCTTCCCTGCACCATGGTGGGCCACGTGGAATACGGTGCCATGGAAGCTCATGTTGGCCTGACGCGCCCCCACCTGCAGCTCCAGGCCTGGGAGGACAAGGTCCGCCAGGACATCCGCCGCCTCCTGTCCACATGGCCAGAGCAGCAGTTTTCAGGCAGGGCTGTGGCCCGTGTCTTTCATGGCATTGGTAAGGGCCTGGGAGGCTTGGCCCTGATGCAGGTAGGGTGGGGGGCCTGACTGGCTGAGAGTCCTCAGGGCTGTACCTCCTGCTGCACTGCAGGAAGCCCTCGCTACCCAGCCCAGGTGTATGGGCGGGACCGGCGCTTCTGGAGGAAGTACCTGCATCTGAGCTTCCCGGCCCTGATGCACTTGGCCACGGAGGAGATCCTGCTGTGGGGCCGCTGACCTGCCCTACATGGGAGGGTGGGTGTGAGCAGGGGCTGCATGGCCACAGTGTGGAGGGCCAGGTGTAGTTGCTCCTGAAGGCAAAGGGGGCATCAGTTGCCAGAAAGGTGACTCACCACCGACAGTGTAGGGGCAAGGAAGCCCCAAAATACAGAATAAAAGATGCTCAGGTCATTCTTAGGATCCTCTTCTCTGGCAGGGTGGCCCCCGGCAGGCAGTCTGAGAACAGCCTTGTGTGCCACACATCCCAGACAGACACAGCCAGGCCATGGTGCAGAGCAGGCATGGCTGAGAGTGCCAGAAAGAGGAGGAAGCAGAGGTGCAGCCCCAGGCTGTCTGCCAGGGCTCCAGCGGGCATGCCAAGCAGCAGCTTCCCCGGCAGTTCCAGAGTGGACTGGAGGCTGTAGTGTATGGCCTGGGAGGGTAGGAGGAATCAGGCCAGGACTTCTTGGACCCCGTCCCTGCAGCCCCTCAGTGTCCCCACCATGCCCTGTCACCTGCAGGGCACTCACTGGGTGCCAGTTGACTGCAACGCAACATCAAAGTAAAGGTGGCAGTTGTGACCAGGCCCCCCAGGAAGTGCTGGAGACACAGGCTCAGTTAGGCTGCCCTTGGGAGGGCCAAAGTCAGCAGGGCCCAGGACTCTGGGCTCCTCACCCCCTGTGGCCAGCCCCTCACCTCTCAGGACTGTACCAGGGCCCAGTCGGCCCCCAGGGGCATCCAGTTGAAAGAAGAGGGCTAGCTGGCAGGCCAGGTCCCCAAGATGGAACTGAAGCATTGACTTCAGCAGGGACAGTGGCTTTCTGGGGTGAGGAGATCAGGCAGGTCAGGAGGTGTGGGACAGATTGAGGGGTGGACAGGTGGGGAGGGCTCACTGGTGCCTTGCTAGCAGGAGGGCCCAGGAACGAGCTGGCAATAGAGCAGGCCACGGCACACTTCCACAGTGCCATCTCAAGTGGAGATGCGCTGGTCCACCAGGAGGGGTGGGAACAGGCTGCTGGCACCCTGCTCACCTGTGGGGAGAGTGAGCAGGTGCAGCCTGCCTCCCTTCTCGGAGGCCCTCGCACACTAACCCTCCGGCCCCTGCCCTGCCTCTGTCCTGGGCCACAGGAGCTGGGACTGGGCGTTAGTCAAGGTTCAGAGAGACCCACACAGAGGGGTGTGGCTCTGGAGCTGGAGGACCAGAGATCAGGTCCAAGCGCAGAACCCAGAAAGATGGCAGCACCCCCACCCCGGTTCCAGCACTCCTGTGGCCCCACCTGGAGTTGCCCCAACCCCATCCCTCCTGTTGCCTGACTCAAGGCCTCACTCACCCAGCTTGTAAATGAACACAAAGCCCACTGTCCACAAGGTCCCAGGACTAGCCAGCAGGCCCTGCAGGAGGTGCAGAGTGTAGGGGGGCAGTTGTTGCAAGGCAGGTGAAGCCCAGGGCAGGGCAGCAGTGAGCCAGTGGGTGACAGCCAGAAGCAGAAAGAGCAGGGGCCAGGACAGGGTGGGCACAAGGTCTGGAAGCTCACCCCTAGCTCTTAAGCGACCACCTGCACGGTATTGCCTACCCCCAGCTCCGTCAGCTCCAGGAGCTGCATGGCCAGGGCCACATCCTGCACAGCTGCACCCAGGTCCATCGACAACAGCAGCCCCACCACGGTGACAGGCAGCCTGGCCTGGATGGCTTCAGCAGGAGGCAGTTCCACCAGCAAGGACACAGCCCCCAGCCGTGGGTCCTCCAGCCCATCTGTCCCCAAGGGCCTCTTCCTGGCATCTCACCTGCATTCTCCCTGCATCTGCCCTCAAGTGCCCCAGATAGGAAGGGGACCTCCCATCTAACTGCCTCCCAGCCCAGGGACTGCATTTGCACCCAAGGGTGTCACGCATTCACCACACAACTCAACATGGGCCAAGTGAGACCTATGTGCTCCCCATCCCTGCTCCAGGCGCAGCCAGTTGGGAAGCCAGGACTTCCTCCTTGAGCCCTGCTTCAGGCTGTGTCCTGTGCTGCCCACCCACCCAGCCAACTCATGGTGACCATGCTGCCAGGGAAGAGGTGGGCAGTACAGGAAGAGGACCAAAGACGAGACATACTTTCCTGTCTTCCTTAGGAAAGGCTTTTCCTGGATGGGGCCACCCTGGAGCCCTGTGCCCATGTTTCTTTGTCCAGCCCCATCCCACCCCTAAAAATTCGGGGTTCACCAACGAGGTACAACCCCTTACTCTTCCTAATTGTTACTAAATGTTTGTCAGTCTGGGCCCCAAAACCAGAAACCACAGCAGACACCCAGCCCACCAGTGGGCACTACATCTGCAGAAAAGTCGCCTTCTCTAGAAGCCTCCTTGACCGCTCCCCAGGGCTGGGTCCCCTGTCCTGCACGGATGACCAGCACAGAAAGGCAGGAGTGTATAAAAAGGGTCGGGGTGGGGGTACACACAGTATGTGCACAGCCTCTGAGCACTCAGGCTGTCTCACAGCTTTATTAAGGCCTGCAGAGAGGAAGGGGCCCAGCCCCACAGGCAGCAGTAGCAAGTCCAGAGGGCCCCAGGGACACCCCAGGGCCCCAGACCCCGTCAGTCCTCCAGCACGGAGCCTCAGGAGTACTCGTGGGTGAACTTAGCGTGAAACTGGCTCAGCTTCTCCAGCAGGGGCCGCAGCTTTTCCATGGGGGGCAGAATGGTCATCCTAAAAGGGAGACGGGTAGTAAACCAAGGGAGTGGGGGCTGGAAGGGGGTTGCACATGGGCTGGGCCTCACCGGAAGTGGTAGGTGCCTTCCCGCTGCCCGAAGCCGCTTCCGGGCACCACGCAGATGCCGGTCTCCTCCAGAAGGCGTATGCAGAAGAACATGTCAGGAGCCATGCCCAGCTCCTGCGGGCAGGGCAGGGTGGTCAGGGCGGCTCAGGCCCGGGCCATCGGACCCCCGCCTGCCCCCTTGGGCGCAGACCTGAGCACGCTGCACCGCACGCGGGGGCAGCTGCATGCGCGGGAAGGAGTACATGGCTCCCTGCACCGGGTTGCAGCGGATGCCAGGACTCTCGTTGAAGACCTGTTCCGTGAGCTTGGCCTTGGCCGCCAGGTTAGCCAGCACCGCTTGCTTCTCCTGCGGCCGCGGAGGGAGGGCTGGTCAGGCGGGGCCGAGAGCGCAGCAGCCCGCAGCCCCCGACCCCCTCGGCCCCTCCCGCTCACCGCCTGGAACTGCGCGTAGGAGGGGTCGGACGGTGCAGGCGGGCTGACCACCGTGTGGAGCAGAACCTGGCCCGGCACCGGCGGGCACAGCCGCACGCTCATCAGTTTCTGCATCTGCTGCTGGACCGCGGCGTCCATGTTCACCACTTCCACGTAGCCGCCACGGAACCCGCACCTGCCAGGCGAGGGCGGACGTGAAGGTAGGGTCGGGAAGGGGAATCTGGGCCGTGGCTGGGGTCCGCGAGCCCCGCCCGCCCAGCGCGCACGCACTCGCCCATGTATCCTTTAGACACCGAGTGGAAGGAGGCAAGTTCCTGCCGCGCCGCGTAGGGCGGCCCCATCTCCGCGAGCACCTTCTTGAACGAGTGGAACTGCGAGCCCTCGGCGTACACGTTGTCCTGATACACCTGGAGGGGCGAGCGACGTCACCCACTGCCGCCCCCCTCTCCCCACCCCCATGCGCGCCCCTGCCAGCACCTCATCAGCCATCAGGAAGAGCCTCTCCTCGAAGGCGAAGCGAATCACGGCCTCGATGCACTCGCGGGGCTGCACCTGCCCTGGGGCGCAGGGGACGGGGCACGGCCGGGGTCAGCAGAAGGCGCGCATCGCCCCCTGCGCGCACCGCGGTGGGGGCGAGCTGACCGCGGCGTGGCAGGGTGGGGGCGCGAGGCGGGGCGGGGGTGGGGGCGGTGCGCACCCGTGGGGTTGCCGGGGTTGATAACGCAGAGCGCGCGCGGGCGGCAGTGGTCGCGGGCCTGGTGCAGCGCGCGCCGCAGCTCGGCCACATCGAGCGCCCAGGCGCGCTCCTCGTCCAGGTAGTAGTCCACCTGCACGGCGCCGAGCTCGGCCAGCGTGGCGGAGTAGAGCGGGTACTGAGGGATGGGGATGAGCACGCCCGTGCGCGCGCGACCCTCGCCGGCCACCAGCAACCTCAGCACGGTCTGCGGGCGGGATTGGAGGCGAGGTTGGCGGGGCCAGGACAAGCGCGGCACGACCAGCGGCGCACGGAGAACCGCGGTGCCGTCCGGCCCGGCCCCAGCCTACCACGATGGCGTCGCTCGCCCCGGTGGACAGAAAGATGTTGTCGGGGTCGGCGGGAATGCCTCCGTCGCGGCGCTCGACGTACCGCGCGACATCCTCGCGGATCAGCCGGACGCCGGAACTGACGCTGTAGGACCCTGGGCCGCGGGCGGGGCGGAGGGAGGGAGGACACGTGAGGTCCCCGCACCGCCCTCCGGAAGAGACCCGCCCCTTCCAGCGGGCTGGTCCCTTCTCCCCGGGGCCTCGCTCCTCCCCGGGGCCTGGGCCGGTTCTGGCGCCGGCACTTACCCAGACTGTGGCCCCCGCAGGCCTGCAAGATGCGCTCCGCCCTTCTCTTGGCATCCTCGGGGAAATCGGGGCTGTTGAGAAGGTCTGGGTGGACGCAGAGCGCCAAGACCTGAGGGGAGGAGGGAATGCCGAGGCCAGGGCACGAGGGCTGACCGGGGAGGGGCGCCAGGGCAGTGCCAAGCCTCACCTGGCGCAGGAATGTGATGGGCTTCTGCCCCATGGCCTGAGCATCCCCGATGTTGGCGCGGATGACCTCAGTGAAGGGCTTCTTCACGCCCTGGGAGGGAGGGGCAGGTGGGCCTTACCACTCCCTTGTGATCGGGCCTCCCTGGTCACGGGGCCGCCTCAGGGGCCCAGGTGAAGCTGGAGAGCACCGTGGGGCCCAGGACTGTACCTGTCGGAGCTCCTGCTCCAGTTCCAGGGCGCGCAGCACAATGGGGCCGCGCACTGCGTATTCCACTCTCTGAATACACGGGTTCATAGTATCCAGTGTCAGCACCTTCTCCTGCAGTCCATTCACAGCAGCAGGGCTGCGGCCACCTGCCTTCAAGGCCATGATCCTGCTCGGACCAGGCAGTAGGGAGGCTCAGGAGGTGGCAGGGTACAGAAGAGGGAGGAGGGGCGCCGGGTCCAGGCTTCTGCAGAGCTGCGTGGGGCCCGGGGAGTCTGGGTCGGGGATGTAGGTGCGAGGGCACTTTCTCTGCTGCAGCCTGCTGGCCCCACTGAAAGGGACAGAAAAGGCTAGAGAGGTGGTTGGGGTTGCCATCCCGCCCCACCCATCTGGGCACAGTTCTGCCCCAGGGAGGCAGAGGGAGTGGGTGAGGAGGCAGGCGGGGCTTGGGGCAAGGCCCAGTGCCGCCCAGTGTCCCCATGACCGGGAGCAAGAGACCCACGGAGCGGGTAGGGACAGACAGAAGGTTTAAGAAGCCCGGAGGACCAGGGCCTGGGGGAGGGGAGGTGGGCTGAGCACCCTGAAGGCAGAGCGGCGGAACAGCTCTGAGGGAGAAGGTCTACCGCAGAAGGGCTTGGCTGCGGCCTAAACCTCTTGGGACCCCCACCTTTGCTCGGGCCAGCAGCCTGTCTCCCAGGTAACTGAGCCAGGCCTGGGGAATCCTGGAGGTGTCGGGGGAGGGGAGCAAGGCACAGGGCCCCTCCTGGGCTGGTGGCCACGTCCTAGCCGGCTGGAGGCTGCAAGAGCCCTGTGCTTGGACCTTGGCCCCCAGTCGGTGGTGCCGAGGCCAGAGTCTCTGGACTGGGGTACGGTGGGGGGAGGGGGGAAGGGAGAGGGAGGGCCCTTGAGGGCCCTCCACAGCATTGGGCTGTTGTCCCGCCCTTTCATCATGCCAGCCTGGAGCTGCCCTTGGGCCCACAGACAGGGTGACTAAGCGCCCCTTCCCTGCTGTTCTTGATTGGTGGAGAGAGTGGAAGGCAAGCCGTGATAAGCCCTCAGGGCCCCACCTACCAGGCCCTGCAAGAAACTGATAGGCCATGCCCAAGGCTGCCCAACAGCAGGCATCTTAGCCTGAGGGTCGAAGAGTCAGCCCTCCAGCTGGGCTGCAGGCTGCTGGTCGGCCTGAGGGGACCTGGGCTCCGCTACCCTTGCTGGAGAGGAAGCAGCCAGAGCCCCAACAGCTGGCCTGTCTCACCTTGCACCTCTTGACTCTGCTGCCACCTCGTCCCCCAGGGGAAAAGGCCTGCCCTTCTGGCTCTGGGGCACAGTTGATATGAGCCTGACCCCAGAAGGAGCCAGCCCCCGCCTCCCTGGCAGCAGGGCTTAAGTGGAGTCGTGGTAACAGGTGGAGCTTGGGCAGTGCCCTGCCCCACACACTAAATTTAACCAGCAGCTGACCCCGGCCTTCCCTCGGTCCTGCCGACACCCCTCCAACCAGATGCTCGGGTGGGCAGGCCCCATGCACACTGGGCCAACCGGGTCCCAGGCAGGTAGGCAGTGACCCAGGCCCATGCCACCCAGCAACTGCCATGGACAGATGAGCTGGCAGCGCCCTCAGCCCTACCACGTGAGGACCCTGAGGGGCCCCTCCCTGTCACCCTGACCCACCATGTCCAACCAGCTCAGAGCCTCCTAAGTGGCCAACTGCTGGCCCCCTTTGCCAGCCCAGGCGGAAGCTGGCAGCCAGGCCCCAGGATCAGGGCTGCATGCCAGGAACAGGCGGCCCGCCCCCATCACCACCCCCACGGAGGTTCTGAGGCCTCGGGCCAGTGTGTCCTCCTGGCTCTAGCCCAACAGCCTTGCGGAAAACACTCCCCCTTTCCCAGCCAGGATCCCTGCCCCCACAAGGAGTGTCCTTGCAAACTCCCTGCTGTCCTCAGGAAAGCACAGAGTCACAAAGGGGCAGCCAAGAGGCTGGGGGGGCCGCACTCCCACGCAGGGGCTGGGCTGCCATAAGCAAGCCCCAGCGTGCACCTCCGGGCTTCAGGCAGGTGCTCGCAAGGACAGACACACCCAGGCCCAGCAACATGACAGCTCCCCACCACGGGGACAGTGGCCCGGCCAACAGACAACAAGGCAGGTGGCAGAACAGCCCTTTATCAACAGTCACAGCATGAACTGGTCTCGCAGCCAAGCCGCTCAGGTATGGCTTCTGCCACATGTTCATCCCTGAGCCAGGGGGCTGGCGTCCTGAACAGGGAAGCTGACTGCCCACCCACAGCAGTACCAGGACACATATGGGGTCCCCAGAGTGGAGGCCTGAGGCAGCCTGTGGCAGACCTCGTGGTCCTGTGTGGCTCATGTCTCACGTGAGCCGGCAGCATGGCCTCCTCTCTGGGGGAGGCTCCCCCGGAGGAGCTGCGAGCTTGAGCGGGGGTGGGTCTCTGCCGGCCCTGGGGCTGCTCTCTGGCTGGGGGGTCTCAGTGTCCACAGGCTGGTCGGCCTCATGTGGGGGACGATGCAGCTTAGCAGCAGCTCGCTGACGCTTGAGATCCGCCAGGGTGTGGCAGGCCTTAGCCGGGGCCAGGGCTTCAGGGATGGTGCTCTCCAGGGGGCCCAGCTGGTAGGAAACACTGCGATCCAGCCGCTTGGAGTACAGGTGCCACCCCGGGGGGGCTGCCACTCTGCCGTTGTGTGGCCGAGCCACCTCAGGGTCCTCCTCCTGTTGGGGGAGTACAGGCCCCAGAGGCCATCAGGAGGGCCCTCTCTGGCCTCGGGCCCTGGGCTGTGCGGTAGTCAAGGGACACACGATGGTGGGGGCAGAGGCTGAGCACCATGGGGCAACAGCCCAGGAAGCAGGTGAAGGGCCGGTGCAGCGGAGACGTGCGCCCCCCAGTGCATGCAGAGCTCCAGCCCACCTCCGCGGGCGGCGGGCCCAGCTCCGTGTCAGTTTGGCCGTCCTCATCCTCCTCCGGGGGCTCCGGGCTGGTGGGTGGCGGCTGCTGCCACACGATGGCCTCCTGGGCATGCTCCCTGCGGTACAGGCTGGTGCGCTGGCTCAAGCTCACCCTTCTCACCACCTTCCTAGGGAAGGGCAGGGAGGGTGGGAGGAAGGGCGCTGCCTGCCCTGTGCTCTGCCCTGAACTCCTGCAGGCACCTGGGCCTGCCAGCCAACGTCAGCAGGGCAGGCGATGCCAGGGGCAGAGCCGGCAGGACAGGCCAAGCCTGATGGTTGGAGGTGGGGCAGCCAGCAGGGCGGGGACACAGCTAGAGAGGCTGAGGGTGGGGCAGCCAGCAGGGCCCTGGGCAGCCCACTTGGAGCTCACCCGCGGCTCCCTGCACTGGACGTGCGGCGGCGCAGCAGAGAGCGCTGGCGGCCCTGGGCACGCACGAGTGCGTCATGCTTGTGCTTCAGCTCCAGCAGCTTGGCCCGCACTTCCTCATCCCCGCACAGGTCTGAGGAGAAATGGGTGGGGCCACGGACACTTTCCTAACCTATCCCCTCCACCAGGCGCAGGCAGCCCCCAGCTCACCAAGAGGCGTCTCATCCATCAGGGACTTCCCGTCCAGGTCCGCCCCGTGGGCCACGAGCATCTCCACCAGGTGCACCTGTGGGCCAGGGGCCTGGGCTGCTGCTGAAGGCTTGGAAGCCACGGGCCACCTGCACCCCGGCTACCCCCACCCCCACTCACCTGGCCCCAGTAGGCGGCAACGTGCAGGGGCTCCCAGCCATCGCAGTCCTTGGCACTGAGACTGGCCCGGTGTTCCAACAGCAGGGCAGCCGCCTCGCTAAACCCACTGGCGGCAGCGATGTGTAGCTGTGGGCAAACCACCCAGCCCTGAGTCCCAGGCCCAGTGCCTCTCCAGCAGCAGCGGCCTCCCCTGCCCGCACCCCAGGGGCCCCATCCTCACCAGCGTGGCCCCATGGTCCTGGGGTGCATCGAGGTCAGCCCCTGCTCGCAGAAGGCTCCGGATGTCGTCCAGCATGTGCAGCTCTGGCAAGGCCCGGGCCCCCTCGATGCTGTCCTGGGTAATGCCTGCAGGGCAGCAGGCTCAGAACTGGCAGCCCTGGCACCACCCCTGGTGGATGATGGGGTTGCACTCACCACGGTTGGCCATGGCTGTCTCTAGGCAGTCCAGCGTTTGCTCGTCCTCACACAGGTCATAGGGCATGTTCCCATCAGTGTTGACCGCCAGGAGGTCAGCACCACTGCAGCGAGTTACGGGTGGGGTGTTGCTGGCCACAGGACCCTTCTCCTCCTCCCACCCACGGAAACCCGCAGTACCCTCTCAGAGGCCCTCAGCCTAGGGCTGCCCTCCAGGACAGCGTGGGGCTGATATGGAGGAGGCCCAGCCTGATGCCCTTGGACCTGTCTAGCTGCCCCTCAGCCCTGGGCTGTTCTCATGCCAGGCAGGCCATCCTGCAGTCTCCACCAGTGTCTGAGCTCCTCATTCCTGCTCCCATGACCATTACCAGTAGGCCCACCTGCCAGGAGTGGGTGCTGGGACTCTGAGGGCCCCAGAGATCAGGGCTGAGGCAGGAGCACAGCAGGGGTAATGGGGGCCAGAGGGGGCTGAAGGGGAGCCTAGAACACAAGGGTGGGTACCCACTGTGGAGGAGTGGAGTGGGGCTAGGGGCTGCCTGTGCATACCCCCCAGCTGCCCCGAATGCTGCATACCCACCCCAACCACTCTAAGGCATTTATGTGAGGTGGGGGGACTGCCACCCACCTGCATGCCCACCATCCACACCTGGACCACTCCAAGGACAGATAGAGCCCCTGACCATGTGTCCTACTAGTAGGGTCAGAGGGGAGAGGCCATGGAGAGGACCCCTGGATCCTCGTGAAGCCAATGGTCCTCCATGTTTACCAAGGTGGCTGCTCAGGAGCCCTGCCCTGGTCCTCCTTGTTAAAGGCCCCACCTATGCTCAGGTACCCTGTCCTTCTTGTTGATTCCACCCTCACTGCTGACCAGAATGGCATTTCTCTGAGCTGGAGGTCAAGGCCTGCCCTCGAGGAGCTCCAAAACGCCTCATGGCACTAGACAGGAGGACACACCCAGGCCAGGAGCCTGGCAGGCAGGAGGCCACACTGGCCCGAGCACATGCCTGTTCCCTAGGGGTCTCAGCATCTTCGGCCCTTGCCCAGGCCCTGATCTCCAGCAGCCAAGTTAGGTGGGCACACAAGAGGCTAAAAGGCCAAGGGCACTTCCCGCACAGGACACACCTGGGCTATGTCTCTCAGGATGAACTACCATCTTCGAGGAAGGGCCTGCCCACCCTGGGTCCCAGCTACCACTCTCCCCAACAAAGATGCCCACTCTGGCCACACCTGCTCCCAGCAGGCCCTACCTGGTAATGAGCAGCTCCACCAAGTGCAGGTGGCCACAGGTGGCCGCAGCGTGCAGGGGCGTCCAGCACTCACTGTCACAGGCGTTGACCGTGGCCCCGGCCTCCAGGAGCTGCCGTGCCATCTCCCGGAAGTCATCGATGCAGCTCTGCGGACCATGCACCTGAGCTCCAGAGCCTGGGCTCGAGATCCTTGCCACTCCCAGCCACCCCCAGCACGCTGACCTGGTGCAGGGCCGTCAGGCCATCCTCATTGCACAGGTCAGGGCTAGCCCCACTCTCGAGGAACTGACGGACTGGAAGAAGTGGGGAGGTGTGGTCAGGATGCAGGGATAAAGGTTCCACCACGGCCAGCACTGTCCTGGTCAAGTCCCAGTGCCTAAGGGTACGGGGCTGACCACCAGGCTGCACCCAGGAGAGCAGGAAATGGCGAGGAAGCAGCAGTACAGGAACAGGAGGACCGCCGGAACGCAGGGGCACACACAGCAGCCCCTGCTCCCAGCCCTGGCAGGACCCGTCCCTCCCAAAGCGGCCCTCCTGTGGGGGGGAGGTCCCCACTGGGCCTCAAATGCTCCCGTTCTCGCCCGGGTGCTGGCACCCCCTCAGCAGGCCCCCTGCACCCTGCAGTGTCCCCAACCTGCCCCTCCAGGACTTCCCCAGGAGAACAACCGACCCCTGTCCACGCCTCTTCAGCCTCCCATGCGGGCCCAGGTTCTCACCAAGGTCACCTGGGACCTTCCCGTGGCCCGGCCCTCCCAGGCTGTGCTCAGCAGGCAGCAGGGGCACACCCTCCTTCGCACACTCTCGTGCCCTGGCCTGGGGAACACCCACCACGCCCCTACCTGCTCTGCCTGCAGGCACTGCTCACCCCATGCGCCCAGGCCTGTCACTGCATCTGGGAGGTTCTGATGGAGAAGTGGCCCGAGGCAGAGCCCAGGATGGGCATCAAGGGGGCCAGCCTGTGTGGGGAGCCCAGTTTCCTGAGCACTAACCTGCTGAGGTGGGCATCACTGTCCAACCTTACAGAGGTGGGAACCCAGGACCCACACGGTGGTCAGCCTTCCCCTGAGCATCGCCCAGCACCCTGGCAAGAGGCAACGAAGCCTGCAGGCCACCCCCAGCCCACCTGAGCCCAGCCCCTGGAACTTCTCCAGCTCCTGTGGGCCTGTGCCGTGCTCCTGCCTTACCCCCATCAGCATCCCCTCTACAGCAGGACCCTGTGTGCACTGCCCGCCACTTGGGGCCTATGGCTGAGGAAGCCAGGCCAGACCCCAGGCCTCTGTAAGAAGGGGCTGCTCCCTTGGGAGGTCTCAAGACACCTGCACCAGGGGACAGGGCTGCCAGCCGTGCACTGCCCTGGGACGCAGCCACACTCACCTTCCTCCAGGTCATTTCGGGCAGCAGCTTCCAGAAGGGTGACACTGGGAGGGAAGAGGACCCGCTTCCGCGGCACGCCACCCGCTACCTCCTTCCGTGGCCTCTCCCTGTGGCTCTTCTCAGCCTGGGCCCACATCTTCACCTGCTGGGCGCGTCGCTTCTGGGCATGCTTCAGCCGCTCCTGTGTGCTCATCCGGCCCACTACAGGCATCTCTGCCAGCAGCTCTAGGTGCTCAGCCATGGTGGGGGCTGCCTACCAGGGGGGCTGCCCGGGACACCAGGTGAGGGAGTACGGGGTCTAGGCTGGGCCTGAAGGGTGGGGCAGCTCGCTGGACTGGCACCCTTGGGGGCATCCCCTCCCTAAAGGTCAGTTCCCTCTGCCCCTGGCAAGGCTGGGTCAAGAGGCCCCATGCTGTGACCAGGCCCAGGCAGCCCTGAAGGGCAGGAGCCCCATGCAGAAAGGACAGTGTAGAGAAGGTGCCTGTGGCTCGCCTCCCAGGAGCCCTGGCACCTCAGCCACTCAATGGGCAGGGCCTCACTCCTTCTTGGGGTCAGGGTGCACAGCCTATGGGAAGCAGCCTGGGACCTGGGCAGCTCAGTCCAGGGTCTGAAGCAATTACCCAGATAACAAAGTCGCAGCTTCCTGGCACCTTGCCAAGGGGGAAGAGAGAACAGGGCAATGGGCAGAGGCCCCTGGGACCCTAGAAGCCCCCCTCACCTTCAGGCCTCAGGAGCTTGAGGGACCCTGGGAGCAGCCATGGCCTGGTCTGGTCCCCCCTCCCCTGTCCTGTCTGTTTTCCAGGGTCAGTGCATTGGTGCTAAGGATCAGGTGTAGCCAGAGGGTGGGTTCCGTGACCAAAGAGGCCAGGGCAGGGCATGTGCTCAGTCCTGGGGACCTGGACCTCAGTGCCTGGGGCTCAGACTCTACAAGCAGCAGGCCTGGCCACTGTGTCTTCAGAAGGACCTCTCCTTCAGAGGAGATGCTGATCAAGCAACAGGAAGCAGGCAGCTCCCACTGGCCTGTAGGGGAACAGGAAACACCTCAAGGCTGGCTCCCGGGGGCGGAGCAAGTGGGCAGGTGCGACCAGGGCCCTGCCCTGTGTGAGCCCCACCCTCGGCCTGCAGGGAGCCCTGCTAGTCCACAGTGCTGGCAGAGGCTTGGTCTGCCCAACTCTGGCTGACAAATCAGCGTCCCCACAAAGGGCCGTCCAGGCTGGCAGCAGCCTCCCCATGAAGCTGCCCTCAGAACCAGGGGCTGGCCCCTGGGGGGTGCTCCCTGCAGCATCCTGAGGTCCTGGTTCCCACAGCACTGCTGACCTGTTCGCCTCCAGGCTGGGTCAGGCAAGGTCACCTTCTCGGACACCCCCAGAGCCCCTGCAAGGACTGGGGAGGCTACAGCCTTCCTTTGGACAGGTCCTGCCTCCTGAGCCTCGGGCTCCCCCCTCAGCTTCTGAGGGCCGAGAGCACAGCCTGTCCTGACCAGCACCCCAGCTCCTCACCAGTCAACACCTGGGCTTCCTCCTCGCCAGGCTCCCTAGCCCAGGCCCGTCAATGCCCAGCCACACTGGGCTGCAGTAAAAGCCCCTGTCATGCAGACAAAAGCACAGGAGGCCTGCCGAGCTTGAGATCTATCGGGACAGACAGGCAGGCGGGCGGCCCGGCAGGGGCACTAACCTCAGGAATGGCCCTGGCTGTACTCTAACACAGGTGCCCACCAGGAGTCCCAATTTTCACTCGGCCAGGCCCTGTGACCATCTAGATACAGACCCAGACCTGCACTTGGACGTCTCAGTGAGTGCCCCCTTCCTTCTGGAAGGAACTGACTCGGGCCACATCAAATCAGCCCTGCTCGGGGACAGCCAGCGTACCTGGGAGCCGCCTTTCACAAGTCTGACCTGCTCTGGACTTTGCTCCAGCAGGGTCCTCCCTGCGAGCCTGGGGATGGGACAGGGGACCAGGAGGCCCCAGTGAAGAGCTTTCTAGGCAGCACTCCTGCTCTGGGCAGCCTGCTCCCAGCTGGCCACCTATGCAAACTGCCGGGGCACACATGAGCTGCCCAGACTTCCCGTCTGGGGAGCCTGAGCCCAGCTTTGCCCTCTGAAAGACAGCTCCCCCGTCATGAGACAGGCCAGGAGCCAGGTCCTACAGGCAGCCCGCCAGCTCCCCATCCACGAGGGTGGGGGTGGGTCCCAGACCATACCTGCGGCATGGCACGGACCTCGCCCCCACGGCAGCCCTCTCCATGCACTGACTGCTCACAGCTCCTGCCCCTCATGCCCCTCCACCAGCTGGCAAACTGCCCTCATACACACATGGCTACAGGGTGGGACCTCCACCTCTCTGCCATCACCTGGGCCTGCCAGGGAGCTGACCCCAACAGCCTACTCTGCCAGGCCCCCAGTCTCCAGCCATGGGAAAGGAACCCCTGTTATTCTCCCATAGGGAGGAGGATCCCCCAAGGGCCAAGGCTCCCCAGCAGAGTGGGCTCCTAGAGTCTCAGGGACTGGCTTCACCTCCCCGGATGGGTGCCGACTGCACAGCCACAACTGATCTTCCTTGGGTTGATGGGGTTTAGGAGATGCCATCCACCTCGTCATTTTATAGAAGAGATTCCGATGCCTACATTCTACAGAAAACAACCTAAAATAGCAACCAGCTTTTCAAACTGAGTACATGCTGCTCTTGGCTTACGCATCCTGAAGGCCGTCTGTGAAAGTCCACCACACAGCAGGACCCAGAACCTCAACACGCCTCTCCACCAGCCCTGCCCTCTGGCTGCGGCGGGAAGAGAGGGCCCCCAGTGCCCTGGGCAGCGCACAGAGAAGCCAGTGTCCTGGCCTGGGCTGTGGCAGCTTACGAGGGTCCTCAGCCCCCGACTCTCGTGGGTCCGCCTTCCTGAGGCCCCGGTCTCCTCGGGGCGGTCTCCGTCACCGTGGGCAGCCCTGACTGCCTCTTCTGTACCCAAGCTGAGCCTGAGGGGGCCCAGGGAGTCCCAGAGACCTGCGGCAGGGGGCACCGCCATCTGGCAGAGCCTCCGTCGAGGGGGCATGACAGTGTCTTGTGCCTGGCTCCTCCCAGACTGAGCCTTGAACTTCCAAGCCCCTGGCCCCCTGGATCCTCCTGCTACCCCCCAGAGCCTCAGTCGGTCACCTTCTCCCAGCCACTCAGCCCAGGGACAGTCCACCGGAGCTAGAAGACTTGCCCTTTGGCTGAGCCAGGAAGGACAAGGCGTTCAGTGGAGTCTGTCCGAACGGCCACCACACCACACCCAGAACAAGGCGGGCTGAGCAGGGCAGCTCTGCCTTGGTGCACAAATCTGCCCCAAGCCTCCCTGGAATATCAAACAGATAACCTGGCAGTTTTTCCCAGGTCTTGGCTCCGTGCCCAAGCAAGCTGCATGGAGTGCGGAACTGAGATCAGGAGAGGCCCGGGGAAGGACCGCAGCAACTGTGCAGTACTGGACACCTGGTTTTGGGGACAGGAACCCATGCCCAGACCCCATCCAGGCCCGGACAGAGCCATGCTGGCCTGAGGGTCTCAGCAGCCTTCCATAACGCCTACCACAGCTCTCCGCCAGTAGGTCCCATCATTACCCCCATTTTCCACATGGGGAAGCTGAGGCCATGCCTGGACCTGGAGTCCTGTGACCCACTTCACAACACTGCCTCTCATGTCCACCTCAGGATCTGTGTGAGAATCAGAGATGGTGTGGCAGAAGCCCAGAGCCTGCGAGGAGCGGTAAGTACCACCTCCTCACCCAGAGAGGCCATGCCATGTTCAGAGAGGGAGGAAGGGATGAAGGGGTCTCAGAGGAATGCTGAGGGAGAGGGGATGGAGGCTGGGGAGCCCCCCTGTATCAGGCCCAGGGCACACCTTTCCCCTGATTCTGGGGCTGTAGGTCCTATCCTGCTTGGCTTGTTGGAGTGGGTTACTACAACTTGCAATCCAAAGACTGCTTTATCTGTTGTCTGTCCACAATAGTGAAAGCTGGGCAGCTGGGTGCCCCTCACCCTGGGAAAATGATGTGTGCATTACCATCCTGCACAGCAGCAAGATGAGGCCATCTATCTGCCAAGGGCCAGGGCTGTGACTTGGTCACCGAAAGCCCAGGGTGGAGGTGACACTGCCCAGGTGTTGAGGATGGATACAGATGCTTGTTTCTTTGCACAAACAGAGAGGGCATGAGGGCAAGGACTGTGACCTGAGATCATGGGGCAGCAAGGGCACCCAGCCCCCACCCGGCTTGGCTCCCCTTGGAAGACTCCAGTCCCCCCATGGCTCCAAGCCCGGGAGGCTTCCCCGGCTGGCCCTGTGTCTCATCCTGTCTCTTCCACTAGAGGGCATGGCCCCTGCTGTCTCCTCAGCCACACCTGGACCCTGCAACAGGACCCTGGGTGTCTGTGACGGGCTGAGGAGGCAAGGCCAGGCGCAGTCAGGGAGCACGACCAGCTGAGGCCCAGGGGCCCTGTGGCCAGCACCGTCCAGTCAGGGAGGAGCTAGATGCCCAGAGATCCTCAGACACACCAAGTAGAGGACAAGACCATGAAGAGCAGCCCCGCCTGCCCTCCGATGTGTCCCGATGGGCACTCCGCTGTGTGCGTGCTCTGGTCACTTGGCCAGCACACCTCCCTCCTGGCTCCCTGCTTGACCTAGCTTTGCTCTTGGGGTGGGGACAGGGGATAGGTGGGAACAGCAGAGGAACAGGATGTGCATCAGTGGTGGGGCACAGGGGACCCTGGGGGCAGTTCTGTGCCCAGACAAGCGAGGAAGCGGCCCTGCTGTAAGCCCATGGCAGGGCCTCGCCTGCTCCCCACAGGCTCTGAACAGAGCTTGAGAGCTGGCAGTGGGCAGGGTGGGCTGAGGAGGTGCGGCAGCGAGGACAGGGAGGCTGGGGCCAAGCACTGCCGCAGGCGGGCAGGCAGCCCACCCCACGGGCACAGAGACCATGGGAGGAGACCTGGGATGCTGCCACAAGCACCCTCACCTCTGTGACACCATGTGAACACACAGTGCCATTGCCAGGGCACACACCTTGCCGCCCGGTCCCCCAGCGCCCCCATCAGCTCCTGGCTGCGGCAGCCCTCGTGACACAGAGCACTTGACCATAAAAGGGGCCTCACTCAATAGGCCTGGAGAGGAAGCCTCTCCTGCACTACGAAGGCAAGAGCGGGAAGAAGTAGTGTTTGCTCGGTAAAAAAAAGGAAAAATGAAACCTGCATATGATATTCTCCAGCTCCTGTGGGCCTGTGCCGTGCTCCTGCCTTACCCCCATCAGCATCCCCTCTACAGCAGGACCCTGTGTGCACTGCCCGCCACTTGGGGCCTATGGCTGAGGAAGCCAGGCCAGACCCCAGGCCTCTGTAAGAAGGGGCTGCTCCCTTGGGAGGTCTCAAGACACCTGCACCAGGGGACAGGGCTGCCAGCCGTGCACTGCCCTGGGACGCAGCCACACTCACCTTCCTCCAGGTCATTTCGGGCAGCAGCTTCCAGAAGGGTGACACTGGGAGGGAAGAGGACCCGCTTCCGCGGCACGCCACCCGCTACCTCCTTCCGTGGCCTCTCCCTGTGGCTCTTCTCAGCCTGGGCCCACATCTTCACCTGCTGGGCGCGTCGCTTCTGGGCATGCTTCAGCCGCTCCTGTGTGCTCATCCGGCCCACTACAGGCATCTCTGCCAGCAGCTCTAGGTGCTCAGCCATGGTGGGGGCTGCCTACCAGGGGGGCTGCCCGGGACACCAGGTGAGGGAGTACGGGGTCTAGGCTGGGCCTGAAGGGTGGGGCAGCTCGCTGGACTGGCACCCTTGGGGGCATCCCCTCCCTAAAGGTCAGTTCCCTCTGCCCCTGGCAAGGCTGGGTCAAGAGGCCCCATGCTGTGACCAGGCCCAGGCAGCCCTGAAGGGCAGGAGCCCCATGCAGAAAGGACAGTGTAGAGAAGGTGCCTGTGGCTCGCCTCCCAGGAGCCCTGGCACCTCAGCCACTCAATGGGCAGGGCCTCACTCCTTCTTGGGGTCAGGGTGCACAGCCTATGGGAAGCAGCCTGGGACCTGGGCAGCTCAGTCCAGGGTCTGAAGCAATTACCCAGATAACAAAGTCGCAGCTTCCTGGCACCTTGCCAAGGGGGAAGAGAGAACAGGGCAATGGGCAGAGGCCCCTGGGACCCTAGAAGCCCCCCTCACCTTCAGGCCTCAGGAGCTTGAGGGACCCTGGGAGCAGCCATGGCCTGGTCTGGTCCCCCCTCCCCTGTCCTGTCTGTTTTCCAGGGTCAGTGCATTGGTGCTAAGGATCAGGTGTAGCCAGAGGGCGGGTTCCGTGACCAAAGAGGCCAGGGCAGGGCATGTGCTCAGTCCTGGGGACCTGGACCTCAGTGCCTGGGGCTCAGACTCTACAAGCAGCAGGCCTGGCCACTGTGTCTTCAGAAGGACCTCTCCTTCAGAGGAGATGCTGATCAAGCAACAGGAAGCAGGCAGCTCCCACTGGCCTGTAGGGGAACAGGAAACACCTCAAGGCTGGCTCCCGGGGGCGGAGCAAGTGGGCAGGTGCGACCAGGGCCCTGCCCTGTGTGAGCCCCACCCTCGGCCTGCAGGGAGCCCTGCTAGTCCACAGTGCTGGCAGAGGCTTGGTCTGCCCAACTCTGGCTGACAAATCAGCGTCCCCACAAAGGGCCGTCCAGGCTGGCAGCAGCCTCCCCATGAAGCTGCCCTCAGAACCAGGGGCTGGCCCCTGGGGGGTGCTCCCTGCAGCATCCTGAGGTCCTGGTTCCCACAGCACTGCTGACCTGTTCGCCTCCAGGCTGGGTCAGGCAAGGTCACCTTCTCGGACACCCCCAGAGCCCCTGCAAGGACTGGGGAGGCTACAGCCTTCCTTTGGACAGGTCCTGCCTCCTGAGCCTCGGGCTCCCCCCTCAGCTTCTGAGGGCCGAGAGCACAGCCTGTCCTGACCAGCACCCCAGCTCCTCACCAGTCAACACCTGGGCTTCCTCCTCGCCAGGCTCCCTAGCCCAGGCCCGTCAATGCCCAGCCACACTGGGCTGCAGTAAAAGCCCCTGTCATGCAGACAAAAGCACAGGAGGCCTGCCGAGCTTGAGATCTATCGGGACAGACAGGCAGGCGGGCGGCCCGGCAGGGGCACTAACCTCAGGAATGGCCCTGGCTGTACTCTAACACAGGTGCCCACCAGGAGTCCCAATTTTCACTCGGCCAGGCCCTGTGACCATCTAGATACAGACCCAGACCTGCACTTGGACGTCTCAGTGAGTGCCCCCTTCCTTCTGGAAGGAACTGACTCGGGCCACATCAAATCAGCCCTGCTCGGGGACAGCCAGCGTACCTGGGAGCCGCCTTTCACAAGTCTGACCTGCTCTGGACTTTGCTCCAGCAGGGTCCTCCCTGCGAGCCTGGGGATGGGACAGGGGACCAGGAGGCCCCAGTGAAGAGCTTTCTAGGCAGCACTCCTGCTCTGGGCAGCCTGCTCCCAGCTGGCCACCTATGCAAACTGCCGGGGCACACATGAGCTGCCCAGACTTCCCGTCTGGGGAGCCTGAGCCCAGCTTTGCCCTCTGAAAGACAGCTCCCCCGTCATGAGACAGGCCAGGAGCCAGGTCCTACAGGCAGCCCGCCAGCTCCCCATCCACGAGGGTGGGGGTGGGTCCCAGACCATACCTGCGGCATGGCACGGACCTCGCCCCCACGGCAGCCCTCTCCATGCACTGACTGCTCACAGCTCCTGCCCCTCATGCCCCTCCACCAGCTGGCAAACTGCCCTCATACACACATGGCTACAGGGTGGGACCTCCACCTCTCTGCCATCACCTGGGCCTGCCAGGGAGCTGACCCCAACAGCCTACTCTGCCAGGCCCCCAGTCTCCAGCCATGGGAAAGGAACCCCTGTTATTCTCCCATAGGGAGGAGGATCCCCCAAGGGCCAAGGCTCCCCAGCAGAGTGGGCTCCTAGAGTCTCAGGGACTGGCTTCACCTCCCCGGATGGGTGCCGACTGCACAGCCACAACTGATCTTCCTTGGGTTGATGGGGTTTAGGAGATGCCATCCACCTCGTCATTTTATAGAAGAGATTCCGATGCCTACATTCTACAGAAAACAACCTAAAATAGCAACCAGCTTTTCAAACTGAGTACATGCTGCTCTTGGCTTACGCATCCTGAAGGCCGTCTGTGAAAGTCCACCACACAGCAGGACCCAGAACCTCAACACGCCTCTCCACCAGCCCTGCCCTCTGGCTGCGGCGGGAAGAGAGGGCCCCCAGTGCCCTGGGCAGCGCACAGAGAAGCCAGTGTCCTGGCCTGGGCTGTGGCAGCTTACGAGGGTCCTCAGCCCCCGACTCTCGTGGGTCCGCCTTCCTGAGGCCCCGGTCTCCTCGGGGCGGTCTCCGTCACCGTGGGCAGCCCTGACTGCCTCTTCTGTACCCAAGCTGAGCCTGAGGGGGCCCAGGGAGTCCCAGAGACCTGCGGCAGGGGGCACCGCCATCTGGCAGAGCCTCCGTCGAGGGGGCATGACAGTGTCTTGTGCCTGGCTCCTCCCAGACTGAGCCTTGAACTTCCAAGCCCCTGGCCCCCTGGATCCTCCTGCTACCCCCCAGAGCCTCAGTCGGTCACCTTCTCCCAGCCACTCAGCCCAGGGACAGTCCACCGGAGCTAGAAGACTTGCCCTTTGGCTGAGCCAGGAAGGACAAGGCGTTCAGTGGAGTCTGTCCGAACGGCCACCACACCACACCCAGAACAAGGCGGGCTGAGCAGGGCAGCTCTGCCTTGGTGCACAAATCTGCCCCAAGCCTCCCTGGAATATCAAACAGATAACCTGGCAGTTTTTCCCAGGTCTTGGCTCCGTGCCCAAGCAAGCTGCATGGAGTGCGGAACTGAGATCAGGAGAGGCCCGGGGAAGGACCGCAGCAACTGTGCAGTACTGGACACCTGGTTTTGGGGACAGGAACCCATGCCCAGACCCCATCCAGGCCCGGACAGAGCCATGCTGGCCTGAGGGTCTCAGCAGCCTTCCATAACGCCTACCACAGCTCTCCGCCAGTAGGTCCCATCATTACCCCCATTTTCCACATGGGGAAGCTGAGGCCATGCCTGGACCTGGAGTCCTGTGACCCACTTCACAACACTGCCTCTCATGTCCACCTCAGGATCTGTGTGAGAATCAGAGATGGTGTGGCAGAAGCCCAGAGCCTGCGAGGAGCGGTAAGTACCACCTCCTCACCCAGAGAGGCCATGCCATGTTCAGAGAGGGAGGAAGGGATGAAGGGGTCTCAGAGGAATGCTGAGGGAGAGGGGATGGAGGCTGGGGAGCCCCCCTGTATCAGGCCCAGGGCACACCTTTCCCCTGATTCTGGGGCTGTAGGTCCTATCCTGCTTGGCTTGTTGGAGTGGGTTACTACAACTTGCAATCCAAAGACTGCTTTATCTGTTGTCTGTCCACAATAGTGAAAGCTGGGCAGCTGGGTGCCCCTCACCCTGGGAAAATGATGTGTGCATTACCATCCTGCACAGCAGCAAGATGAGGCCATCTATCTGCCAAGGGCCAGGGCTGTGACTTGGTCACCGAAAGCCCAGGGTGGAGGTGACACTGCCCAGGTGTTGAGGATGGATACAGATGCTTGTTTCTTTGCACAAACAGAGAGGGCATGAGGGCAAGGACTGTGACCTGAGATCATGGGGCAGCAAGGGCACCCAGCCCCCACCCGGCTTGGCTCCCCTTGGAAGACTCCAGTCCCCCCATGGCTCCAAGCCCGGGAGGCTTCCCCGGCTGGCCCTGTGTCTCATCCTGTCTCTTCCACTAGAGGGCATGGCCCCTGCTGTCTCCTCAGCCACACCTGGACCCTGCAACAGGACCCTGGGTGTCTGTGACGGGCTGAGGAGGCAAGGCCAGGCGCAGTCAGGGAGCACGACCAGCTGAGGCCCAGGGGCCCTGTGGCCAGCACCGTCCAGTCAGGGAGGAGCTAGATGCCCAGAGATCCTCAGACACACCAAGTAGAGGACAAGACCATGAAGAGCAGCCCCGCCTGCCCTCCGATGTGTCCCGATGGGCACTCCGCTGTGTGCGTGCTCTGGTCACTTGGCCAGCACACCTCCCTCCTGGCTCCCTGCTTGACCTAGCTTTGCTCTTGGGGTGGGGACAGGGGATAGGTGGGAACAGCAGAGGAACAGGATGTGCATCAGTGGTGGGGCACAGGGGACCCTGGGGGCAGTTCTGTGCCCAGACAAGCGAGGAAGCGGCCCTGCTGTAAGCCCATGGCAGGGCCTCGCCTGCTCCCCACAGGCTCTGAACAGAGCTTGAGAGCTGGCAGTGGGCAGGGTGGGCTGAGGAGGTGCGGCAGCGAGGACAGGGAGGCTGGGGCCAAGCACTGCCGCAGGCGGGCAGGCAGCCCACCCCACGGGCACAGAGACCATGGGAGGAGACCTGGGATGCTGCCACAAGCACCCTCACCTCTGTGACACCATGTGAACACACAGTGCCATTGCCAGGGCACACACCTTGCCGCCCGGTCCCCCAGCGCCCCCATCAGCTCCTGGTTGCGGCAGCCCTCGTGACACAGAGCACTTGACCATAAAAGGGGCCTCACTCAATAGGCCTGGAGAGGAAGCCTCTCCTGCACTACGAAGGCAAGAGCGGGAAGAAGTAGTGTTTGCTCGGTAAAAAAAAGGAAAAATGAAACCTGCATATGATAGAAAAGAAATAGAAATAAGAACATTTATATCTACATTAGAAACATAACAAAAATAGACAAGACATGATGAACAGAGGTCACGAGCAGGGTGAAGAAGAGAGGCAGTTGGGTGGGGGACAAGTGCTCTGGGTCATTTCTGCTGTTTGACTTTGAGAACACGTGAAGATAAACCTGTTCAAAACAACTTTAAACTGTTGGGGGACGGCAGGCAGGAGCGCACCTGCTGGTTGCCAGGTGGACCTGAAAGGACAGGGCTACAGATAGCAGCGTGGGTGGCTCCTGGGGCATCTTCTGTGTCTGGCCGAGGAGCTGGTCTCTGCCCATTAAGCGGTGGGAGCTGCTTTCAGACAAATCTGGGGGTGGGGTGTAAAGAGGTTGCAGGAGAGAGGCTGGGACCTGCACAACCACCCAGAGGGTCCTGGACAGGACAGGACAGGGGTGACAAGATGAGAGCAGACAGGGTATCAGATGTCAGGGGAGGGGCACACACAGGAAGGCAGGCCCTGAGACTAGCTGTGGGGTTTACAGCATCCATGGATGCCTTAGCATGTCACCAAGCAGTGTCCAGGGAAGGCTGAGGCCAGGCCGCCCAGGAGAGCACATCCGGAGCGAGCGGCCAGCAGAGGTGCAAATGGAAGGCCCGCCTGGAAAGCTACAGGGTCCCACTCCTAAAGGATGTGCCCAAGGCATCGTGGATGCCTTAAATCCCACAGCTAGCCTAAGATATTGCCCTGCAGGCAGGGCGATGTGGGTGACCTTTCTCAAAAGAACAACTTTTTTTCTTTTTAAAAGAAAAGGAATTAGATGACCACTGCTGACTCAGCAACAGTCCCTGTGGAGGGAGGAGCCCCTGTGGGTGAGGATGTGGGGACCCATCTCCTGAGAGCCTCGGCTCAAGCGGGAGGGGGACAAGAGACGGGCTTAACCAGAGAGGCAGCACAGAGGAGGGGGCTCCAGCCCATGCTCTCCAGCCCCCAATCCTGAAACCCTCCCCTGGAGCCAGTCATCAGCAACGACCACCCCCCCACCCCCGTCCTCAACCCCGTCCCGCTGGCCTTCACTCAGCCAAACCCGGCTCCCCTGCCCCCTGCTCCCGTCCAGCCAGCCTTCCCTGGGGGCTGCTTTCTCTCTCCCCACCTGGGCCCCCTGGCCTTGAAGTGGGGCACCCACACCCTGTTCCTCATGGAGGCAGGCAGCCCCCTCCCCGCTCTCTGAGTCCGGCTGCCAGGAGCCATCAGCTGCACCGCCGGCCCTCCCCACCCCTGCTGTGGGCGTTGCCCTCCCTCCTGTGTCAGGTCTGCATTCCTGCTGGACTCTATTCTCCCGGACCACCCTTCAACTCCCTGCCCCTCAGTCTTGACCCCTTCTTCCTGACAATGACCTCATTATCTGCCCCAGTTATGCCCCCCACCCTGTCACCACCAGTACTCCTCCCCACGCCCACCCTGGCGCTTCAATTCACCACCAGCCCTCTGGTCGCCACCCCTTCCCAGATTGTCCTGCAACCCTGACTCCAGCACCCCAGAGCCCCCACGCAGGGCACTGTGGGGGCTCCGCTTCAAGCCACTAGCAGTCATCAGCACTCTACGGCCCTCCTGCCACACTGCTTGGTGGAAAACCCCAGCCCAGCATGCCACCTGACTGGTTGTACCAGCAGGGCTGCTGACTGAGGACCACACTCAGACAAGCAGGCCCCACTGATGGCCCTAATGCTTCCAGAATCTTCCAGCTTCCTTGCCCCTTCTCCTTCATCCTCACACTCAGCTGCGGGTATCTTTTCTGAGAAGACAGAAGCCATAAGAAAAGGGCAGCCACTCCTCAAACAACCCATGTGCCTGCCACTGAACCCACCTGCCACAATGCTCCATCCCACAGCACAGAGACCCATGCCCACCTGTGCCCCAGCCCCTCCAGGATCCCTCTCTCCCTCCTCCAGACCCTTCCCATCAGCATGGCGGTCATCTCAACCTATTTCAAAACAACAGCAAACCCTACTGGATGAGACAAGGGTGTCTGCTGTCACTAGTTCTATTCATACTGTACTAAAGGTTCTAGGCAATGCAATTGGGCAAGAAAAGGAAATAAAAGGAATAAGGATAGGAAGGGTAGAAGAACCTCATTATTTACAAATGACATATATGTGGTAAAAACCTGAAATATCCTATAGAAAATCTATTAGAAGTAATATAAAAATGGAGCACATTAAATACAAGGTTAATGTATAAAAATAAATTATATTTATAAATGCCAGTACCAATCAGAAAATGAAAAATTATTAATTATACCATTTATTATAATACAGTATCCAAAAGCATCAGTGTCTAAAACTAA